GAACCACCAGTTTTTCCATTTACAAATGATGACCGCATTCTTCGACGACCACGAGGCACAACTATACACCCCAATATTGTCAATAATATCACCAGTAACAATATTATTGCCACCATTATCCAGTAAAAATCTTGAAAAAGCAAACAATAAAAATGAATTGATTTCATCAACAAAAAAATTTGCCATTTATTACTTACATGATTTAGTTATAACATTACTGGCTGGAATAATACCCGCACAATTGAAGAAAGAATCGAAACTTATTTTTTGCACTGGATATTCTTCTCCTTGATTATTGTAAACATCTTCATCCAAAATAAAAATGTATTTTTGGCTGAATAAATAAAATTTTCCATCGCTCGCAAATCCTTTCAATACTGGCCATTGAACCGGAATGCCCGAACGACATTTTCCTTTTTCCATCCTAATTCTCGTATTCTGTGGATTGGAGCATATTGAATATTTGGCTCCTTCAGTTTGTATGGTTGACATGTTGCTAAAATCGCTATCATCATCATATCGATCAATACTCATAAACAAATTATTATTCACTCGAACTAATGAATAATAATGGCGTGGCATGTCGCTTGAAACAAAAACTTTGTTTTTCTTATCATATGGGACCAATTTAGTAAACACTTCAGAAGTGTCGATGTTATAATGAACTTTTAATCGCTCACCAAAAAAAACCCAATCATTTTTTCCATCGTTTATTATATATGCATCAAGATTTAATCTAGCTGATAGAATTAGACGAAACCCTTGACTGTTAAAAAGAATTGGATATTTATCCCGGATTGGTGTTGGCTTTGTTGGCAGATGTAATTTATCATGGACCAGATCCAAGGAATTGATTGGAACATCATATACATAGTAATTCTTTGTTATCAATAATAATCGCTTCGATGTTGTCCCAATCGCTACTATGTTGAATTGTGTGCCATTATTATTCTTGAGACTTTCACAGATTGGCTTTGTTATCAAATGTGAAATGTTATATAATTAGCATGTAGAATATAATCATAATACATGTAAATAATACTTACATCTTTATGTATTGCTATTATTTTCACTTCATTATCCGTTCGGATTTCCGGTGTAATCATCAATATCAAATAGAAGATATAAAGGAATTTCATATTTGATCGATACATTTTAAGCAGATTTCTTTTGTAAAATTAAAGCAATAACAACAAGAAAAATAAAATTCGTCATCGAAAACTCCGATCGTATGGTGTATTGTGAACGCTTTTATATGATTTGTTGCCAATTCCAACAGCTAAATTTGTTCATTAATTCGAATTTCAACAAAATGATCTTTAGCTTGTTAACTGTTATGAAACAAGGTCTAACAATCGAATTCCTACAATTCGATTGTTCTAACAAATGTGTTTTTGGCTGATTTTTTACCAATTTAATGGACTATATTAGCTATATTTTAATTGTAAACCGTAGAAAAGCAGAGTCAAACTTTTCTTGCAGTTAACAATGATCAAGTTCTACATTTTCCTAACAATCGTATTAATTTTACATTGTTTGGCTAGCAATCTAATCAAGTTTCCAATTCCAATCAGTTTTTAATTCGGGTAACGCAAAATAGGTTCATCAAGGAAAATTAATCATCAAAAATCTTAATAAGAATGATCATGAAATATGTTTAATTAAACTGGCTAGCTTGGATGTTGCTGTTGAATATCCAATATAACACCATTTTTAAGATTGTTAGATTGGTGTTTTACTTCCAAGACAAGGTCATTTTTCAAAGTGGATTTCCCATTAATTAATAATTACTCTCGATCACTAGTAAGTTTGGCTACCACTCATGTGATGAAACTTGAGTTGTTATTCTTTTCAACAATTTGGTGTTGTTACATAGCAAATGGCCCCCATTCAAACAAAACACTTGAAACTTATCAAATAATACTTATTACAGAATGAAACAATCATTAAACACTGATTCAATTATTTCCAAAACAAATCACATGATCCAAACAAATGAAAAAGAACGTTTGTTTTGAGGACAAATCATCCATATAAATAGAGCTTTAGATGATTAGATGATGAGCATATAGCGAATCAACAATGTATTCTTTCAAGTATTGTTTAGCGGCTGCCATATTGTTGCTGGTGGGCAATGTATGCCAGGCATTTGTTCCTTGTACGAATCCTTCCAAACACGTTGGTCATTACATTGGTCGTAATCAGGAATGTGCTGCATTAGTACAAACCAACTGTCACCGACAACCAGGTAACAAACAAATCGGCCTGACTAGTACATGGCGTCGTGGTGTTCATGTGAAGGATAATTGTTCGAAAATCCCTGCCTATACGGCCATCGCTACATTCCTTGGTCCAAATCATCATTATGATGAACCGCATCTTCACCAACACACCGCTATATTCGTTCGATGCACTAATGACGGAATCGGCGTTTACGATCAATGGAATGGTACACCAATCAAATACCGCATCATTCCATGGAAAGGTTCTTCCCAACAATACAGTGGCAACAACTTTTACACAATCGCCTAATCCTATTATTTTTTTTGTTGAATAAATTATTTGAATAAAGTAACTGAAATTCCTATTCAAAATGATCATTGATAGATGGCACTAGTTTATTCTTTGAAAAAAATAAAACAAACATTCCAGCATGGCTCAATCGTCGGTCCACGAAATACTTTTGAAACGATTCGGTCGGAATCCTATCGAAGGTGATTCCGGTGATGACAATAGGTTAGAGGAATTCAAATTCGAACGCGTTCTGCGAATCGATTCGAAACGTAAACAAGTTTGCATGGAATGTAGTTACCAACAACGAGCGGCCGTTTTGATTTTGGAAAAGAATCCATTTGATGAACAGTTATTGTCGAAAATTGGCGACAATTTCAACCAGGTCATTAAACGATGTACGAATTTGTTTCGCAATGACATCTATGGTTCGTATCTGGTCAATCTCATCTTGGATGACGGAGAACATGATGCATTACTCAACAAAATATTCATGACCATCATCCATCCGGCATCGCCCAAAGACATTGAAAAATACATCGATCATCCCCATCGAATGATTGCCGAAACGGCCGATATGTACGAACGAATCACCAAACCTTATATCGAACAACAAGTTTCAACACCGGGCCATCTTCAATGGCTGTACAATGTTCTGGACGGTAAAGCAGAAACCGATCGCATTATCCATTCGGACAATGATTTCATATTGGCCAACGATATGAAGTGGAATGCCACCAATGACCAATTGACCGATATGGAAAAACAATCCATCTATTTGAACGCCTTGATTCGACGACGAGATCTTCGTAGCCTAAGAGATCTGAATGCTGATCACCTGCCATTGTTGCAATCGATTTACGAACGAGGTCGACAAGTCATCTGGCAACGGTACGGCATTCCGGTGGATCAGTTGCGAGTGTTCATCCATTATCAACCAAGTTTCTATCATGTTCATGTACATTTCACTCATATCCTGAACGAACAACGTGGATTTCAATGCGAACGAGCTCATCTCATAACAACCGTCATGGAAAACATTGGTCTGATGAGGGATTATTATCAAAAAGTCACATTACATTATCCATTGTCGGATGCATCAATGCTTAAATTTGATTGAAATTTATTTCCATTTTCCCTTCATAGAAAACTCTCCTAACATGTTTCTTTTGTATTAAATAAACGACTAGAATGATGTTGCCAAAATGTTGTTGCTGGTTGATTAAAAACGAATCGATATAACACCGTCATGTTCATCGGGTTTTTCTTCCACTTTTGCTTTGATCGAAGGTTCAACGGGACTTTCTCCCTCCCCGTCTTGTTGCTGCTGTTGTTGTCCGCACCAAAATCTGGTGTTGCGTTTTTCAATCGAATCGTTGTCCTCCGATCGATGAATCCATCGCTGACAAACAACAGTGAAACGATCACTTGGCGCTTCAAACAACAGATACAGCAGGTAACCAAGCATGACACTGATGCTAAAATCGCACGTGTAATTCTCAATCTAATTCAAAAGAAATATGACAACAATGATAACTTGACATACTGATAGCTCACCGTTCTACGCAATGTCATTGTATGAGTCTCATGTGCCGAATACATTCGTTGATATTGGACAAGTGGTTGCACCAAAAATATCGAAAACGATAACCGGGCAATCGGTTGAATCGATATCGGCGTCAAACATTTAAACATCAATGCTATCATCAAAGATCCATTAGCAATAATCAATCAATCATCAAATATTACTCACCGGATTTCTCGGCAACCGACGCATAAATAATCCAGCCAAACGATAAACCGAATATAAAACGACCAATCGAAAAGAACAACAACACCGACAATTCATTCGGACTGACACCTTGTTCGCCGAAAAATTGATTCACCCAAACGAACGGCACGATCAAACCGATGATGGCCAACACGTTGTAGATGATCAGCTTCCTCTGTTTGTTGGATTTGGTTTGCTCTTGATCGCTGATATTGTCACGAACAATGATCGCATAGCCAAGCAACAGACCAATACTGAACGAACCCAGATATTGAATAATGTTCTGATGGTAAAGATAAAAACTGCGGCGTGCATGCCACAACGATGGTTGCCTCATCATTTCATAATAGGTACGTGTGTTTGTCAAGAACAATCGCGGCGATATGTTCAACAAAATGCTGCAGATGATCATTATGATCAACATTCGAAGTCCCTTCTTCGGCGATTCATACATCACCAATACCACCAAAAAGAATGCCACATTCAGTTGGAAAATGATCGATACAAACCACGAATCCGGATTGCACTGTAACGAAAATCAATTAATCGAATCAAGAGGGAAAGGAATAATTAACAATCCTACCACCAGATAGCAATCATCGTTTGTATAGTTGGCACGGACGAAATTCCAATTGCTAAAGTGAAACAATGATGATGCTATCGAGGATGGTGATTTGCATGCCGGCAACAAAATTTCTCCCACTCGAGACCATAATGGTCCGTAGCCGGCCGATGGCAGCAGATACAAAAACATTATCGAACCAAACAAGGGCATCGTTAGACGAATCCATCGTCGTACAAAGTAAACCAGATAAGTGAACAAGTCGTGCGGTTGAACCAAATGTCGAAATATGCTTCGTACAAACAATGCGCCCGCTATGATCAATAGACCATCATTCAGTAAAATCGGGGCCCGTATCAGGAAATATTTTCTGCTTGTAAACAATTCGCCGGGAACTGAGCCAGCAATATTATGCAATAACGATGTGAGCGGTGTCAGATAGAATGCATTGCACAGACCAATCACGAATATAATTATCAATCGCAATGTATCCAACACTGCCAGACGATTCGGGGATTGATCAAATAGCCGACCAGTATTACTGACAGCCGAGAATATCTCGACAATCGTTTCGACAGCCACTGGTCGATCCCTTTCATCGTTTCCATTTCTGTGTTGAAAATTTCGGACCAACCATGGATATATGTCGTACAAAGTAGCCGCACCCACCAGCACAACCAAAACGGCAATTATCAATCTGCCAATGTCAATCATTAAACACAGGCAACAACAGTAAGGAATACTTGCATTGCGAATTGAGCATAACCATCCATACGAAGCCAAAAATTGTTGGCTTTGTTTTGGGTCCAACATGAGGATTCCTGTACTTCCAACGGGATGCCGATGATTGGATAAAGAACTTTGTTTGATTTTTCAAATTAATATCATCTCTACCAAAAAACACAGGGCTGAAAAATTCCCCAAAAATGACTTACATTTGTTGAGAGCAATTTCCAATTGTCGACCATCACATGTGCTTGGCAAGCAAAGACCGAAATTGGTGACCCGTCCTTTTTTCGATTTCATCAGTTCGACAAATTTGAGCGCCGGATTCATCTGGAAATAATGTTGCACATTGTAGGCTGCATAGAATCGTAACAAACGTTCAACTTGGGGATCGGATCGATCGTAGTGGTTGACCATTTCGGTTGCAGGCAACGGCAGCAATGGTTTCACCGTACAATATTGTCCCGTATATGATTCGGACAACGTGGACGGACTTTCGATCGAAAGACATTCGTCGAAACTGCCCAGAAATGAACTGACACCATTCATCAAGCCGGAAGGAATTTTGGGCGCCGAATCAACAAATTTCAATGCCCACGGTTCGTTTCGGCGGATGGCCACCAAAATGGCGACAATCGAATTGATGCAAATCGAATCCAGTTCCAGAGTGAGCAAAACATCAAAGTTTTGATGGAGAAAATTGGTGAGACCGGCACGAACCTGTTGTTGATCGGCAACATCGCGAAACCAATTCACCAAACGATTCAGACGTTGAAATGTATGATTGGCCGTTGGTGCCGTTCGTATCTGCGATGGATCATCACTGAGCATATAATCATCATATTCCTGCCGTAATCGATCACCGTCCTGAGGTAACATTGCCGTCAGATTCATATTTTCCAGCAACAATTTCACCGTACAACTTGGTTCTTCATACTCCTCGTCGTCATCTTCTTCGTCTTGATCAGCTTTGGAATTGTAGTAATCATCATCTTCTTCTTCAACATTCTCCGCATTCGTGGCTTTGGCGGTGGATGATTCACCCGAATCATAATCTTGGTCTTCATCCTCTTCATCCTCTTCTCCATCATCATCATCGGCACTGGCTGGATGTTCATTTTCGACAGTAGAATTTTCTGCAAGATTGCCGGATTGATTGGCTATGATGGATGGTTGGGCCACATTTGTGTCATCAGCAGACAATGTTGTGGTCTCTTGTTGAATGGTGACCCATATCAAAGCGAATAACACAAGCGCATGTAATAACTTCATCACTGCCATAATGTTAAATGAACAAAAAACATCTCCCTGTGTGTGAGCAAGCACAATTCTATGCAGAAAAAAGCATCTTACCTTGATTGGAACACACACTTTCGCTTGCTTGATGTCGTAACAAATCAATAAATGTAGTGATGGTCCGTTATCGAAAGTGGCAATCATCATTGATTCATTACTTCACCAATCAACTTGGAGAAAGACATAAACAACTCTCTCTCAAATCTTGAACAGTGAAAAAAGTGCAGAGCGAAGCAAAAAAGAGAGATAACTTGATTTGCATGCTCTCTTCATTCATCCGAATCATCAATGTTCATCAATCATCCTTTCCTAATGATTTTGAATGGAGAAAGAGAAAAAGTATTGACCAGTCATTCATCGATAATGATTGTCATTGATTTAGTTATGCAAACACACAATAACACAATATGCAATACCCTTAATGGCCAAAAACAGGTTGTTTATCACCATTCACCATTATCGAATCGACCAGTTTGCCACTTGATTTGAATCTCAATCCTAATCATTATAACCTTGTTTGCCTCATTCATTCATTCATTCATTCGATTGATTCATCTAACCTATTAACCTTATCAATCATGACGACACATTTTAATAAAAAAATGTATAAAAGAAAGCCTTATTATCCTTAAATCTTTTCATTTTCATTGTTTAGTCGTTCTCATTTCTTGTATAATCAGATGAAAGATGCTACATTTTCCTGCCACCATAATACGCATTGATTTAATGAAATAATTCAATCTCAACAACAATGCACTGCCCAATTATCGAACATTTTTGCCCACTATACATAAAGCGAACATGGCTTACAATTGGCGATTCGATTAATCAGTAACATTCTGAATGAATGGCATTCGTTAATTATATCTCATCAGCATGGATCGATCATCATTACACAAATCAATTACCAACCATATTAATCACGCTCATGATAATGATCCACCAAACAATGCCAATCACAATCAATCAATCACATTCACAATCTCAATTGCAACAACCATTACGCAAACAAGACGATGATACCATATATCGACCATCCCCGACCATATATGTGGAAATAGGATTTGTTGCGGTGACATTATTTTTCCTGTTATGTTTCATAATGCATGAAATATTCAAGTCATGCAACTCTACTGGCACCACTCCCATCGAGCCGGAAGAGCAAACTCAATATATGCTATGCATGTCGGAGAATGCCATCTATGAGTATTTGCTCATTCTTCGTGTGGGATGTCCAAGTCAGGATTTTGATCGAAACAATTCCTACATAGATTTCGAAATTCTCGGCCAAAAGGATGAAGTGATCGGAAGTCCGGTGCGTTTCGATTGTTCCCGGTTGAGTGATATTGTGTGTGGCGAAATGCATCTTATCCTTAGACGTCTGACGCCCATGCCGACCATCCAGGGCATTCGTGCCAGTCATTCCAATCGTCTGCAATCATCCAAAACCAGCAAATCAGCGTCCATATTTTTCTACGAATTCGAACTACGCGATCGAACCGAATCGGAAGAACAAGTGGTGGATTTCCGATTGATGCTCGATTACATTGAATTTCGACCACGAATATTTCGAGGTTTTGTTCCGAAAAATTTGAACGACGATACAATGGTCGGGGTTTATCCGGAGATTCCTATTCTGGAATTATCTCCATTGGAAATAGCCATATTCGCCACTTTCGCTATAGTCATGTGTGGAACATTCTGCATGCTACTCGAGTATGGCAATCTTTATCTCATCAACCAAAAGCAAAAGCAAGGATCCTTATATCGATCATTACAGGACTTGCTGTTTGCCGGACCAGTGGTGATGCTGGTGTTGATGGGCAATATTTTCGTTTACAAATATAACATTAAACGTCTGGCCACGCGATACGAATATTCAGTGAATCAAACGAGCAATAATTATATGCGATATTTTGCACGAAGCTATCTCATCTTTACGGTCAAATTGATTATCGCTTGTGATGCACTTATCATCTATTTTGGATTGAAAACATCGTACGTTTTGTCCCTGTACTGGATATCCTCCACCGTATTGACTTCCTCCACGGTATTGGGCATATGGTCCTGTCTGAACAAAATAGCCTGCATGAGCACTATTTATGCCAATTATTCCAATAAATTGGATTCGTGGTCCTGCCCGACTAAAGTTGAAATTCAAACACACCAGCAACAACAACAACCACAACAACAGCAACAGCAAGTCAAAAATGATAACAACAACAATAGCAGCAGCAGCAGCAGCAGCAGCACCAACAACAACAACAGTTCCGTATCATCCACTAATCGATCTTCCGTCAACAATGAACAATCAGTCAAATTAATCAGCAAAATATCATCCCAGCATCAAAAACGTCAGCAAACTATATCCAAACTGAAAATGGTTGCTAAACCACCATCGAAAAGCAATAAAAGTCAACAACAAAGGAAACGGAGCAAAAAGTAAAGTAGAGAGAACAAGGTGCAATGAATGAGAGTGCGGTCAACATTGAATTGTCAATAAAAATCATTATTATCAGATCATTTCATGGTCAGTTTTCATTATATTCCATTTCATTTGAATTGCTCACTTTCTCAATTCGGATGGTTGACTGACAACAAAAAGCACTATGTTATTGTGATGATGATTATGTCAACATTGACAATAACCAGATGATGTGTCATCTTCGATGCGATCATAGGTCTCTCCATAACTATCACCATTAACTAACCAAACAAATAAACAAACAAATATGAAAGATGCCATGTCAGTTGAGCAAACAAAGTGAAAGTTTATTTCCTAGTCCGATTCGATTTGATTTGTCTTTTAAACAAACAAAAACATCATATCCATACCCCATATCTCGATATCCATACTTCCCAAATGGACTTTGATATGGCAAAAAGTGACGAATAGCCTAATTTCAGTCCAAAATCGAAATCTCCAAACCATCAAACACTTGTTGAAAACATTGTCGAAAAAACCCATATTGTGTGTTTGTTTAACGACCACTTGAGCATATGGGTAGCCAATTGTGCAATTGAACATTACCCAAAATAGCATTATTATTTGCAGAGCTAAATGGCGAAGGATAAACATTGAAGAAAAACTGCAAGGACTTGTTTTTTTCACGATGATTGATTCAATCAATCAATAATGGCCACTATCTTGTTGCCGACGATCATCATCATCACTACTCAATAACTCACTTTTTCATTCAATTATCAATAATGATCAATAATGATTGCAGTGGAAAATTTTCACTCCTTGTTGTTGTTGTTATGATGTGGTTGGTATTTTCATCCATCACATCTCTAAATTTAGAAAATCATCAAGCAGATGGATTAGATAGAGAGGATGCACATAGGAAAACTAATCAGTAAATATCATTTCCATTAACCATTACCGATCGGAAATGCCAATCAAAATCAATCAGATAGCATTTGGCCATTCGATTCTTGCCAACCAGCCAGACATATCGAATGACATTGGATCATGACATGCTTTTCGTCAATATCCATGCTTCACTTTCTGTGCATGTACCCGATACCTATCTTGATTGATATTTATCAAGGCATAACCAATTCATCATAGACTCGCTGATGATTAGACAGCCTGATAATCCTTTTTCTTTCAAGGCGATCAAAATGAAAGATACATCCAGAAATTTCCACCAACACCCAGCATATCTCATCAACCAACCTTCATACAATCACCAGTCAAGCGGATGGTGATATTAATGTGTGAAGCTGATTATTTCTTTCACATCACAATGACCAATGGAGACCAGAATTTAACAATATTCTTGACAAACTTAATATTCAAACACAATCCAAACCCACCAACCAAACAGCATAAGCAGTCACCGACAAGTGCAAGAAAAAACCCAAAAAATTGTTGTTGTTGTTGTTTTTGCTACATTCTTCGATCGATCAACAAGAAAGGAAAAAATATATCAATATTATTGATTGATCATAAAATGTACGTGATCAAAGTTCGCCACACAACAAACTTCTCATTAGGCGTTGTTTCGGTTATGCGATCCTGGCTGATAATCAATGATAAGCAAGCAAGATGTTGAGATGAAGCCATCACACACACACACAAAAACTTCAGCAAACAAAATCTCCACTATATAAGATGCGGATGGCCAAATCCCAGTATCTAATATTTATTAGCATCAATCAACTTCACCACACGCATCCTCTCACAAAACTTTATTTTTCTCTCTCTCTCTCTTTCTTTCTACAAAGCACACACACACCTAGACCATTTTACACTAAATCCAAAAAACCGATGCAAAAATAATTCCTAATGAGAGTCCTTGCTCTTTTGTTGACTGCCTGTTTGCTAGGCCTCGGTAAGTAATTGCAATTGAATCACTAATCAATCATTCATTCGACCACTCTTTACCGATAGGCCAAGCACAGCATTGTGAAGTTGCCTGCCCCCGTTCGATTCCTCAGCTAATAAATCCAAAGGCCCAATCCACTTATGTTTATTCGTTGGATGCAAAAACTGTTCTCACGCCACGCGATAGCCAAAAGGTAACCATTAAAGGTGATGCCGAAGTTGCCTTTGTTAGTGATTGTGAAGCCGTTCTAAGGTTACAAAATGTAGCCATTGACGGTGTTCCCAATGGTGCTGAGTTGGCCGCTGAATTGGCCGCCAAGCCATTCGCTTTCGGCTACTTCAACGGTCGAATCCTTGGTGTCTGTCCGGCCGACGACGATCAAGATTGGTCGTTGAACGTCAAAAAAGCAATCGTTTCCTCACTTCAAGTTCTAAGCGATGGTAACGTAGAAAAAGCAGAAGAAATCGATTTCTCTGGCCGTTGTCCGACTGAATACCGAAAAATTCGAAGCCAAGATGACAACACAGTGGTTATCGAAAAACGTAAAGATCTCAATCTTTGTGATGATCGACGAATCGATTTGCGACAAACACCCGACCAGGCATTAGGACAGCTGAAAGAACTTATGCGTCACTATATGCACCCGATGGACAGTGATCTTTCCTGTCGAATGACTCTCAAAGATAAAGTTGTGACCGAAGTTGATTGCGAAGAACGCCATGTTTTGGTACATCGTTCGAACAAACCAGTGCACATGTCCTATGTAAAAATGATGCTCAAACAAAACAAAGATGGTGTGGCTGCTGATCTTGGCCCGACCAATGCCCAACCAAAACGACCATATCTTAGCTTTGATCACAAACACAAAAATCCTACCGAAACCGATGTTGTGGAAGTATTGAAAAAATTATGCTCGGAAATCACCGAACCCCAAGCTAGTATTGAAACATCGTTCACTTTCCAAAAATTGGTCGATAAACTTCGTTATTTGTCGGCCGAAGAAACTGCCAGTGTTGATGAAAGTGTCAAAACATCCATTTGTCCGGCACATGCACACCGTTTACGGGAATTGTTCCTAGATGCCTCGGCATTCGCTGCCAGTGATGGCAGTATCCGAACATTGGTCAAGGCACACGAAAACCAAGAACTTTCCATTACACGATCCACTGCTTTGTTCACAGTGGCCGCAATCAAAGCTGCACCCAACAAAGAAACCGTTCAGGTATTGTTGCCGGTCATTGCCTCGGAAAAAACCATCCGACCCATGTTGCTCGGTTTTTCAGTCCTGGTTCGACGATATTGCGAAAAGACCAACGATTGTGCCACCAATTCCGGTGTGAAAGATGCTCGTGATGCTTATTTGGCCCGTTTGGCTGTAGCCAAAGATGCTAGCGAACGCATGACTATCGTTCGGGCATTGGAAAATCTCAATGTCAACACTGATGGCGTCGACAATATGGTGAACGCTATGGATGAAATCATCAAATCAACCGATGCCGAACCAGCTATGCGTGCAGCCGCTGTCAATGCATTGCCCAATGATGCTAGCCATATGGATCGCTACAAAAGCCTTGTGATGGATGAATCGATGCCGAACGAAGCTCGAATCGCCGCATTCCAGAAAATGATGAAGAATGGTGGCATGAGTCATATCAAAGATTTGTTTGCCGTCAAAGGAGAATGCATGAAAAACTATGTTCTCACCTATGTGGACAATTTGAAAAAATCAAAAAATGACCTTCGAAGACAAACCGTCGGCGAAGACGTGGAATTGCCCGAAAAACCAAAACGCGAAATCGGCATCACCCGAAACATTGCCCGAGAATATGGCCCATACACATTCGAATATGATGTTATCTACCCGGAAACACATGAAAATGTTACCCGCAGTATCAATGGACGATTGATCCGCTCGAAAAACGGTAAATCACTTACTTACTTATTACTTATTACTAATTACATTGCAACTAATATCCATTACTCATAGATCAATTGAAAGAACTTGTCGAATTTCAAGTCACTCAATCGGGTTTCGATCGCGAATTGAACAATGCAATGAGTCTGTTGGAAAAGAAATCATTCCAATCGGTCATGCAATTTTTGCGTGATATGCTCAAAATGTTGTCTCAGATTCGTAAGAATGCCGATGATAACCATCACATGAAAATAACTGTCCAGATTAATGGCAAAAATGTCTACTTTACCGATTTGTTCCAGGATATGAAAAAAATGAAAGAATTGTTGATGAAACGAGTGGAAAAAATTATCAACGACAAAAAAGTCGATCGTTCCATCGGCGGTGTTTTGCTTGATTCGAAATTAGTTTTGCCCACCATCACTGGTCTTCCATTGATGTACAAATTTGGTGATAATTTGGTCGTTCGATATGATGGAGAATTCAGTGGCGAAAAAGGTGATCGCAATATCCGAATGAATGGTGGTGTTGTGGCCGGTCTTTATGGCAAAATGAAATTGATGGTCAAAGATCATAAAATGGGTTATGAATATGATGCCAAAGCTGCCTACACACCGATGATCGACATGAACGTTCAGAAACAGGAACATTCCCTGTTGGTTCGATTCAACATGAAAGATATGGATCAGCATACCGTCATGCGATTCAAACAATCGTTGCGCGAAAAACGAGCCACCGGTGAAGAAAAAGACTATGAAAATGAAATCACACCCGACGCTCGAAGTGACCGATGCTTTTCATTCTTCCGTATGTATTTCTCATTCATTCAATTTTGTTATTTCTCATTTCATTCTTTAATTTGATTGGCCAGTGTTGGATTATTGTCGCAAAGCTTCCCATATCAAAGGACTGATGTTGCCCAATGTTGAATATTACGTTGTGAAACCGGAAAAAGAAGTGACCGCATTGGAATTGATGTTGAAAAGTGAAACCCAGGATAAAACTCGTCGCTATATTGCCGAAATGACTGCAGTCGGTTCGCCAAGCAACAAACAAGCCAAAGCTGAACTGGAAGTGACAAAAGGTGAACAATATCGTGTGAGCGTCAAATTGCCCGAACATGAATTCAACACTGAATTCACAATCAATGCTGACAAAAACAATCTCAAAATGCATATGGATTTCCCCAACGTCCTTCAAGCCGATCTTACCGGTTCGTTTGAACATGACAAGGAAAACAATGTTCGCAAAAACCGTCTCAATCTGCAATACAAATTTGCCGGCGATGAAAAGCCACACACTGTCGACTATGAAAATGAATTTCTATTCAATTTGAAACGATCCTCGAAAGAGAAAAACAGTGCTGTCGAATACCGAGCCAAATACATGTCCAGCCATTTCCCCATTCTCAACCATAAAGTGAATGTCCAATTCAAATATCGACCATTCAAAGTGAACGAATTGAATTTGGAAGGCGAATTCGGTCGCGAACTTCAACACAAGTTCCGATTGATGCGAAACTCCCAGATGGAAGTGGAAGAAGTGCGTCCATTCAAAATGCATGGCAACAGTGATATCAAATTGATGGCCAACGATCTCGATATTGATTACGATCTCAAATCAGAATTCAAATATGAAAGCAACAAAGGAACACCGATCGAATTGCAATACAAAGTATCCGGCAAAGATCGTTCGAAACGAGCTGCCGAAATGAACGCCGAAGATGTGGAAGGTGTCATTGATTATAAAAACAGTGGATCACCAATCGATTCGAAAATGCACGCTCATCTCAAAGTGAAAGGCAACAATTATGGCTATGATAGCGAATTGAAACAAACCGAACCACAACAATACGAAGGCAAAATGACATTGTCCAAAAACGATAAGAAAATCTTCATCACACACAAAACTGAGTAAGTTATACATACCCACATTGACTGCCATAACAATACTAATCTTAACCAAAAAAACAGAATGACCAAACCGACCAGCACTTTCTTGTTGAAAACCGATGCCGATGTATCGTATTCGGAATCGGATATGAAAAAACATTACCATATGGAATTCAAAAAGGAAAACGACATCTACACACTTCGATCGACTGTCGAACGCGATGGACAACTATTCTATGAAAACTATTTGACCGTACACAAAGGTGGCAAACTTAATCTCAACTACCGCCGTAATGATCGCAAAATCCTTTTGGACTTGGACAACGCTCTCAGTCCACGTGAAGGAACCATGAAATTGAACATTAAAGACCGTGAATACAATTTCGTCTTGAAACGAGATCCAATGCGATACCGTGACATTACTGTCGAAGGAAACGAAAATGCCTACGTCAAAAATGTAAGTCTTGATTGACATTATCCGATTATGTCGTGGTGTTAACTTTTCATCCTCATAAAACTAGGGCAAACTTCATCTTTCGCTCATTGATCCATCCACGTTGAGTTTGGTGACAAAAGCCGATGGCCAAATCGATATGACTGTCGATTTGATTTCACCGATCACCAAACGAGCATCATTGAAAGTCGATTCGAAAAAATACAATCTTTTCCATGAAGGAGAATTGAGCGCATCGCTGGTCAATCCACGATTGTCATGGCATCAATATACCAAACGTGATTCCCGGGAATACAAAACTGATGTCGATCTATCGTTGCGATCATCCGACATTGCTGTCAAGATTACAATGCCAGATTACAACTCAAAGATTCATTATTCACGACAAAATGACCAAATCAGTATGGATATTGATGGCACATTGATAGAAGGTCATGCCAAAGGAACCATCAAAGAAGGCAAAATCCATATCAAAGGCAGACAAAGTGATTTCGAAATCGAATCCAATTATCGATACGAAGATGGCAAAATGCTTATCGAACCGGTCAAAAGCGAAAATGGCAAATTGGAAGGTGTTCTTTCGCGTAAAGTACCATCGCATTTGACATTGGAAACCCCGCGTGTCAAAATGAACATGCAATATGATCGTCATTCGCCAGTCAAAATGTTCAAACTTGATTATGATGGTATTCATTTGGAAAAACATACCGACTTGCTCTACGAACCCGGTGTTCAATACAAAATCATCGGCAACGGAAAAATCAAAGACGATGGCAGCCACTATTCGATCGATATCCAAGGTAAACCACGCAAAGCATTCAAATTGGATGCCGACATGATGAATTTCAAATTGAACGTCAACAAACCAGAAGACAGCAACAAAGCTCAGTTCAGCTACACATTCAACGATTACACCGAAACTGAAGAATATGAATTCGATCCACATCGTGCCTACTACATCAATTGGATAAGCTCTATTCGCAAATACATTCAAAATTTCATTGTCGAAGACCACTGATCACACATTAATTAATTATAATAATGTAATGATTCTATTTTCTATTCTTTACATCTATTATCACTTGTAATAAAATCTTTTCTAAAACAAAACAATTCACGTTTAATCATCGTTTCAATCAGAGATCATCGGGAGGGTAAGATTTTTATTAATTTTAAATGAAATGATTTTTCATTGGGTTTTTGTACAAAGAATAGCTCCCAGTTCTGTCGTAGATATATGATATGAATGTAATCATCTTGGTTACAATCAATATTATTGAATCGACTGCCATAACAATGTTGGAATGCTGACAGGTATTCTCTGTTTTCGATAAAAAGAAATAGATTCAAGCCAAAAAAGTTGTTGATAATTTATCCACCTTACCTTCATCGATATTTTGTTCAAATTGTACTAAACGCCTAAAATGGACGATAGTATCGGCTAGGTGGACGTAATCTTGTTCTTCGGCTAAAGTTTTTGCCAGTTGATCGACAAGTCGATCGAATGGTGCATTTGTTGCATTCAGTTTATCGATAATTGATTGCATATTTGATTTGTGACGTTGATCACCGTAAAGCAACGATGACCATTGTTCGGGCGATAATCTTATACCAGATTCAAGCGCCATTGATATGATTTGTGCGTCGTGCTCACGTCTAAGATCATTATATTTTCTGTATTGTTCTTTCAGTTGCATCAGGCATGATTCGCTTTCTCGTTTGATAATCTCGAAACAACTAGCTCGATAAAGAATCTGTACAACATGACCGACCGATGTTTTTGTTGCCTGTAACGGGTAAATTTTCTCCATCCTTTGCAGTATGTACAGAACCAGAACTTTTCTCGTCAATTGAGTTCCATCACCCAAAGCTAGAATCACAAGTCTGTTATCAAATGAAAAAAAGTTGAAATTTTGTTCACCGAATATGCTGACTTACTTGAGAACTTCTTCTTGAATGGCAGGACCAAGAAATTGGCAACCACGATTACGGACGGCAACCCATAGACTAGATCTGTTCGTAAAGTAAAAGATAATTATCCGTTTCTTGGTTTGACTTGCAAGACATTCAATTACATGATCCGATGTGAATTGGAATGTTTGATTAGTAATTCGAATGCAACACGATTGCCGATAGCAATCACTGTGCGCATTATTTTCATTCGATCATCGTCCGATGAATTCGGTCCAAGTGGACAACGTGATAAAGCCAACATTTTCCGGCGAATAGCATGCGGACAAAAGTGTTCTATTTGATACAATAGAGATTAATCAAAACGTCTCACAACCAAATACCAACCTAATTCATTGGATTTGATCAATGATAATACAAGTTGAATCTTTTCATTCAATTCCATTTCAATGCAATGTTGGTGATTCTTTTTCCGATAATTTGATTGATTCGCAGATGATGAATGGCTCTTGATAGCAGCCATTATATCGAACCAAGATTACAATTGGGCAAAAAAAGATGATATTTGTGTAAATATTTGGTCCACAATATTCCGTCCATGGTACCCGAAACAAGGAATATTCATACGTTGCAAGTAGTTTTTGGTTGGTTGTGATCACTTGCGTTGTATGAAAAGAAATGGCAAATAATTTTGAAAACTTGCTATTTAATCATCAATTGAAAATGAAATATAATAATATTGCAATGCATGACAATATTTCTAACAATTACAAACAACAGTCAAAACAATAAATTAATGAATGAATGAATTAGATGGAAGACATGGTCATTGAATGAACAATGAATGATAATGGACACAAATTCTACATGATTGATTGATTAACACCGTCACTTGAAACAGGCAAACTTACAAATGTGGATAATATATGTTAACAATCGAAAACAAATCAAAAGCAAAATGTCTAAGCGAAATTGTTCAACCAAAATGACAAAATATAGTTGCGGAAAAGTCATCATTATCCTTGCAAAGCATTCTGATCCGGATATGGCAGTGGTATATGATAGGTTTCAACAAGTGCCGTAAAGCTAGTTATGATGCCAATTATGCCGCACAGTATTCCACAACAAATTATGAACACTTCCCAAGCAATGTGGCGAATGTCGAGAGTATGCCACTTAAGTTTCATATGAAAATAACATGGCCATACAAATGATAACATTGTGCCAGTGAAATTGCCAATCAAACCCATCAATAAAACGAAATGTGGTATCGATACTATCAATGGATAAAGAATTCAATTCACATTTTTTATATAGTTAAATATTTTCCATATTTACCAGCCATAAACATGGTGAACAAAACCAGCAAAACTCGAAGTGTAACAGCCCAAACCCGAAGTTCATTATCTCGTCCCCAACAAGTTGGAAATGGTTGATCACCTTCGCCATCTGGACGTTGTTCAGTTGGCCGGCTACGAAATAACGCCGATTCAATAAGACTAGCTGCAGCAAAATACGGCAATGGATATGATAACAATGCCTTTGTCACCAATGTTAGATTGACCAGACCACGAAAACCACGAGTCGGTAGATTGTTGGTGATGACGTCCTGTGTTTCTTCGCCGAATGTAAGAAATCCGATCAATGCAAACAATGCCTTCATATTTGACAAAAGATATTGAGACAACAGATTCGAACAGTCATTGTTAGTTTACCTTGGACAGACCAGCAGCAATATGGCTCCATTTGAGCATCTCTTCGAATTCATCCGGATTTTGCATATTACCTTCGAGTGTGGGAAGAAATATCTGCGATGTATAACTGAATACAACAATGCCGAGGGTGATCGGAAATGTACCCATATCCAAACGCAGTGTCACTTTGGACCATTGCCAGTCGCCAATCTGAATGAGGCAATAGCCTAAAATGATGACATTCAAAATGATATGCGTAACCGTACACCAAAAACTCAATGTCGATACGGAATGTAGATTGGTCAGGAATGCACATGGCAATAATAACATTGTCGATATCATCATCCATGATCGTTGATCGATAACACCTTCCGGAAAGGAACCAATCATCAGATCGCCACTCAACACCACGTATAGGATACATGTCATCAACAATTCGATTATCTGTGCCGTATTCACTAGAATGCCGCCATATTTTTCTCCCAAACATGCTTCGGCTATTTTAACATAACTGTCGCGAACTCTGATCATTTGCCCTTGTTCATTAGGTTCATATAGGCAATGTACCAATATTCGCCCGGTATAGAAACAGATATACGCTACAAACACCAATACAAATACACCCCAATATCCACCATGTAGCACGGCGTATGGTAAACAAACGATGAACATTCCCTGCAACCAAACAAAACTTGAGTGATTATAGAAATCAATACTGAATACAAACCTGAATGGCATTGGTTATGTTCCATCCAGCTTGCCATGCACTAATTTTGCCCGAAGTTCCAGTATGCGGATCATATGATAAATGTGGTGGTGGTGGTTGTTGGCCCTCATAATAACCATTTGCACCTTCTTGATATTCGACAAATCCACTTCCGATGGTTTGATTGAAGCCACCATCGCCTGCCATCTGATTAGTTGGTTCGAATGTGCGAAATGTACCCATTTCATGTTCATCACCTCGTCGACCTCGAATTTTGTCCACAGCTTCGGTGCATGATTCAGGAATTTTGCTGCGAACACGTTCTTTCAACGATGACCACTGATTTACTAAATTAGATACTTTATCATTCATTGTGAATTGAAATTTATGGAAGACTTGATTGCAAACAAACAATATTCAATGATTCTAGTAACAATTGTATCACATCAGAAAGGGTGGTTTGTGATATGTTGGATTCAATTTTTTATTTGGAAGACTTTTTTGCAAGATAATCGTATCTTTTTTTTGGCTACATCATTTTCGAATCAATCGGATTTGTGGAAGAAAAAAGTTTGATCATCAATGATCATCACCACCATCGAACTCATCATCATTCAAGAATAATAAAAACATACATTATACGAGCAGCAATCCAACAATTTGTATGCGCATAATCTTAATTTCTCGTTCCTGAAACTTGTGACCTCAAAGCCATTCTTCACATGCTATATGGCCAGAGTTTTGCCCTATATAGATTTAGTTTCTGTTCAATTGTCCAGTGAAACAGACCAAATGAAACATCATTTTAGTTTAGTTAGATATAAATATTTCAACAAATTTAATAGTTTATAATTTCTTTTCCCCTTCCTCTCACATGATTCATTTTCAAATTTCAAAAAATCTAAAAAAATTTCAACATGCTTCTTCGATGACGACAACGTTATTTACAACAACAGAAAAAAGTATAGTGTCAGAAAAAAAATAATCGAAAAAATACAATTTCAATTTCAATGATAAATAAATCTGATGGTAACGTGATGATGATAAGGTGAGGAAAGTGAATCACAATAATTTTCATTTCGACATTCGGCCCGAATATTGATGATGATGATGATTTAGACCAGACAACAACGATGATGATGATGATATCGATGAGGATGTCGAATTGGTTGATGCTGTTGAAGAGGATGATGAATGTATCGATTCTTGTCTCCGGATTATTTGTTGTGTCTGATCATGATTGAAACGCATCACGGCGGCAATTACCTTAGCCAGCGTCTAGTGTTAATGAAAAATAAATTTTTTAATAATTTCTATCAAAAGATTAACCGAATACACTTACCACCGGTTCACGTCCAATCATGAATTCGAATAAAATATTTCGAAGATATTCATATTCGGTCGGTTGTGGAAGGTGAACACCCAGTATGGCACAATTTTCCATATCAGAATCATTATCATTGCTGTTTTTCGATGAATTGTAATGATTGCTATTTAGATTGTTGCTTCGTTGTTGTTCTTGCTGTTGCATATTGACCAATTCTTTCAGACGTAAATTCTCTTCACTAAAAGCCAGAAAGTTGATGAGAAAAACTGATTGGTAAATCAATGAATGATACTTACTGATATTGAAGAATGGAATTTTGCAATGCATTGATCTGATAGTTGTTTCTATCGGTACCGGTCAATTGTTCGTGTAAGTGCTTCAATTCATTATCCTTTGATTTTAATCTTTGTTGGTAGTATTCATGAACTTCTTCCAGTGCTGTATTCTTTTCGTTAATTTCATTCTGCAATGATGTTATTGAATTTTTATGTTCATTTAATAATCGATTTTCGATCGTATCGAATTGCTCCATTTTTTCGGCCAATTCCTGTTTCTTCTCTTCCAATGTTGTTTGCAGTGTCTCGATTTGATTTTCGAATTGTTTGGTCAATTTGGCCACTTGTTCCCCACTGCTATCTTGCAGTGTTTTCAATGTTTTCTCCAAATTATCATTGACATTGGTAAGCTGTTCGATTTGCGCACGTAATTTACTCAATTCATTACGCGATTTGATTAGCTCCTGGTTGGTGGAATTTTGCTGGGTGGTGGCATTCATGAGACTTTCGTCCAATTGTGATTCTCGTATCTCTAATTGTTTATACAATGATTCGATCGTTTCTTCGTGCTTAGCACGCATGGAATCCATAGTCATTTTCAATTCTTTCATTTGACATTTTTCTTTATGCAATTCTTCTTTAAGTGATTGATTCAATTCTTCGTTCAATTTAACATCTTCCTTCAATTCTCGTTCATTTTTAACACTGGATTTTAGTTTCTCTTCCAATAGGATAACTTCGGTGCGGAGTTCTTGTTCACAAACATTTCTGGCTTGAAGTTTCTCTTCCAGTTCGACTATCTGATCTCGACTTTTTCGCAAATTTTCCTGTACCGTTTTGATTCGATTCTGTTCGCCGACGGATTTATCTTCAAATTGTTTAATTTTAGCTGATAATGATTTTTCATTTTGTTCTTTATGCTTTAGCGAATCTTCTAGTTGACCAACTGTTTTTTCCAATTGTTTACGAGCTTCGGTCATAGCATCAATTTCTGCCATTAACTTCTGGATTCGAATCGTTTGATCTTGATTTTGCTGTTGTTGTCGTTGAGTTTCTTGTTTAACGCTTTTCAACTGTGATTCTGTTGTTTGCAACACATCTTTTAGTTTTTGTTTTGATTCCAGAATATCTTTAGCGTTCGATTTAATTTTGGAAATTTCTTCCAGATACGATGCATTTTGTGCTCTCATTTCGGCCAATTCCCCGACTAATTGTTCATTTTGTTGACGTTGTGATTTGAGTTGTTTATCGATTTCTTCCGTATTGTTATTGCTGTTGGATCGTACATTATCTAATTCCACTTTCATTGCTTCGATTTCTTGTTCTTTTTTGGCCAAATTATCCTGTATTTGTATTAGAAATTGACATTGTTCTTGTAATTGATTTGTCTTGGCTTTTAGTTCCTTTTTCTGATCTTTAAGATCATTTCGAAGTTTCGCCGCTTCATTATTCCATTGTGATTCCCGTATTCGCAATTCATCGATTTGTTCCCGACGTTGTTCGGCTGTTTTTCTTATATCATTCAATTCCGTTTGAATATTTTGCAATCGACTGCATTCATCTTCAAGATTTTTCCGTTCCGATAACAATGTTTCAACTTGCTTTCGGAGATCAAGATTTTGTGAATCACTTTCAGTGGATAGTTGATCAATTTTCAATTTGAGATTATTATTCTCTTCAATAATTTGACGGCAACCGGATTCGAAATGCATTAAAAGTTCATCAATGGTTGTCGTTTCTTCGATATTCATATCGTTGAAATGGGATTGTAAAAGTTTGAAAAATTGATTTTTCAATTTTAGCGAATGATCGCGAAGCAAAGTATTATCCTGATTAATTTGTTCATTTTTTTGCTGTAATAAATTAATCGTTTGCTGTAGAGATTCGATATCGTTGCGCAGTTTTTGTATCAATTTTTTAGTAACTTCTGTGGCTTTTGTCTTTTTATCTAGATTTGAATCCAATTGCTGAATAGTTTGCTGTTTTTCATTGTTTTCTTTTTTAAGCTGATCATTTTCATTGATAAAATGATTCAGTTTTGTTTTTAGCGAATCAATTTCAACGTCTTTTTCCGAAATTAATCCATTAATCCTATTGATTTCTTGTGATTGTTGTTCAAGTTGTGCTTTTAGTTGATTCAATTCTTCGTACTGTTGTTGAACATCACCTGATTGAAGATCGATTGATTTCGATTGAAATTCCACCATTTGTTGCTCTAAACTTTGCAATTGTATCAATAATTGTTGATTATCAGTTTCCAACTGGGATTTCTTTTCACAAGCAATTCTAAGCTCTTGTTCAGTTCGATCAATATCATCAACCTTTTTCTGTAAAGTATCGATTTGATCGAGAGAATTTTGCAATTGAACTTCCCTTTCAGCCAATTGTTGTTCAAGTGATTGCCGTTGTTTGGTAGTCATTTCCGTTAACTGAATCAATTCTTCTTGGGCTGCTTTCAAACGACATTCCATTTGTTGAACATCATTCGATGTTGTTTTGAGCGTTTTATTTTCATCACGTAACATAATCAGTTCTTTTCGTATTTGCTCCAATTCTTCCATATTTTTATCAACACATTTTGATCGTTCTCGTTCATCCTTAGCCAATTTTTCCTGTAATCCTTTGATCGTTTCGTTTTTTGCTTTCAATTCCACTAGTCTGTGTTTTGATTCTGCGGTTCGTTTTTCCAGTTGATCTTTAAGCTCTTTGATGATGATTTTCCTCGATTCCAATTCATCGTGCAGACGTTGTTTAGCTTCTGTGAATGATTCACTTGCCGAATCTTTTAGACGACGTAGCTGCTCAATTTCTTCTCGCAATTTTGCCACTTCTTGTTTCGACATTAAGAGTGATTCATTTTCTTTCATAACCGAATCCAATTTTGCTTTATTCGATTTCAATGATTCATTACATTTGGCAAGCAATGATTCTTGTCGTTCGATTCGTGCTAGTAATTCCTGTCGATCATCCTGTTGATCATTATCGCCAGCCGATTGAGAATTCTTTTCAACATTTAATACTTCGAATTGTTGTTGCAAAACTTTAATCTGTTCTTCTTTTTCTTCAATCACAACGCGCAGATTTTCTTCCAAATGCCGTTTTGCTTCCTGCTCCAGTGAACATTGTTCTTTCAATTCGTTCATACGCCGAATTGCTTTATCCTGTGTTTCGGTAAGCACTGTTTTTAGTTTATCTTTTTCTTCAACAGTTTCTCTATATGCTTTCACAACTTCGGTCCAACGTTCACGATATTTACGGCTACGGTCTTTATAGCGAACACATAGATCAATCAACTGTTCTTTACTAATATTATCCATATTACGGACACTCGATTCAGATTCATATTCACTATCTGATTGTGGAATGGAAAAATTTTGCGATAAATTACTGACAAAATTAGAGAATTTCGTTTTGAAAAATGAATTCGATTCATTGTCACTGTTCGAATCGGTGGTTTGCTTCATTGTCGACGACGTTGTTGGTGTTGTTGATGATGAGGATTGTAATGGTTTTAATTTATCATTTTGATCATCATCAAGATCGACTAGACTGAATTCGGGATTATCGTTCAATTTCTGGCCACTACCACTACTATTATCAAATGTTTTCGAATGCGTCATAGTCGGTGTTTGAGACGAAACACTTTCTTGCTGTTGTAGTGCCGACGACAATGATGTGGATGATGTTGTTTCAGTTATAGATTTGAAATCGCTCAATTTATCTGTAACTGTATTGATGGTTCCATTATTAACCTGATCAAAATAAAGTGAATTGAAATCAAATCAAACAATCAAACAAATCCAAATAATCATACCAAATTCAATGCCTGTGATTGTATATTCACTTTGGCTTTTTCATATTCATTCGATACTTTTTCCTTTAGTGCTTTGAACATTATCAATTCGGTCAATTAAGCAACAATATAGAGAGACGAATATTGATTTTGAATCGCTTCAGCAAGAATGAAACTTAATAAAAGTAGATTGTTGTTACAGTGTTGATATAAAATCCATTAAATAGATGATCACATTCGATTGCACAACATTGATTTTGAAATATCATCAATATCATTAAGGTAATATGCTTTTTAATGGGGCTTTCGAGAATCAAATTAAATAAAAACACTGACGACATCAAATTATTTTTCCAAACAAAACTCTACCTTGGGGTTATACGCAAACAACGTTTCCAAGTTTTTTTTAAATCGAATTTTATAAAAACAAATTAACTTTGATTTTAATTTTTAATCAAAAATAATAATAAAATTTATTTACTGATCATTAGCATTATTCAACATAAAAAATCATTAATCAATCGGCAAATTTGTTTGGATAAAATCTTAATCCTTGTATACTTTCATCACGACAAACTATGCCGAATTTTTCCGATTCAATTAAACGTTGACGTGCCAATGCAACGGAAATATCTACTTTGATTGCAAATTCTTGCGGTGTAAGATATTCATACTGATCGAACATGTCAACTATCTGATTGTTTATATAATTCTGATCAAAATCATCACATTGCAACGTGATTAGACCGCTAGGATATTTCACTATTTTCATTCCCAGATTTTGTTTCTCCATTGTCGAACATCCATTGTATAAATCTTCGGGTGAAATTAGTGAAAATCCACGCGAACGATTATAAGCACAATATACTTCGGGCAATGAAATTTGGCCACCTTTCGACTTGGCTAATGGTTTGATAATTTTAGCAACTTGTCGACCCAAATCTTGATAGTATTTATTATCACTACGATATTTGCTTCGTTTCACCGGATCTTCAATATCATCATCAACACCAAGACTTAATAGGTAAGATTTGAAGAGAATGGTTTCATCTGATGATATTTCATTGCCTTTTTCCTTCAATTTATCTTTAATACTATTCGACAGTTTCACCATTTCTTCTAGAAATGACATTAAATTTTTCAGGTCTTGAAATGCACCATCAATATTTCGATTTGTTTCTTCATGTTGATCTTGAATTTTTCGTTCAATTCCACCGATTCCTTGCCGATATTTTTTCTTGTCCATTTTTATTTCGAAAGAATTCATTCGAAGAAAAGCTGTTCAATTCATTGATATAAATATTCTATGGAAAGCCTTTAACAAAGAACGTGACGCTGCGTGCAGTGAGCCATAATTCCATTCGAATTGGTCAAATTGGGTAATTTTCGACTTTAATTTTGGATTTGGATCCGATCAAATAATAACCATGGTTAAATTGAAAAAATTACGGCCACGTTGTTTTTTCGACATTTCGATCGACGGCGAAAATGGTATGTTTTTTTGATTGTCTTTTGTTTTGTTTATGATTTAATCATTCTGACATTTTGATAGCCGGTCGAATTATTTTCGAATTATTCAATGAAACATGTCCGAAAACATGTGAAAATTTTAAAGCACTTTGTACAGGGGAATCAGGTATCGGACGATTGACTGGAAAACCTTTACATTATAAAAATGTTAATTTTCATCGTATAATCAACGGATTTATGATACAAAGTGGAGATTTCTCCCAAAACAATGGCAAAGGCGGTGAAAGTATTTTTGGTGGCACATTCAACGATGAATCTTTTGAACATAAACATGATCGACCATTTCTGTTGTCGATGGCAAATCGTGGACCAAATACAAATGGTTCTCAATTTTTCATGTAAGTAATGTAACTCTTTAATGGCAACAACCTAATTTGGTTATCATCAATTTTTTTTAATTTAGAACCCTTGTACCAACACCACATCTTGATGGGTAAGTTTCTTTAATCTGATTAATGGAAATTCGTTTTCATAGCAAATTTTTTTCAAAATAGCGTTCATGTTGTATTTGGTCATGTAATCGTTGGCCAAGATGTTGTAATGCGAATCGCCCAGCAACCAGTCGATAAACAAAGTCGCCCTGCAGTATCAGTTTGTATATCAAATTGTGGTGAATTAGTACCACAAATCAAGCCAAAACCGACGAAAACTTTGAAAGCCAAAAAACGAAGCCATAAAAAACGAAAAAATGATAGTGATGATGATTCAGATGATACAAGTTCGGACAGTTCGGATTCAAGTTCAAGCAGCAGCAGCAGTTCAACTAGCAGCTCTGAATCGGAAGATTCTTCACAAGAAACAACAGATCAAAAACAAGCAGATAATGGTGATAATACGAAAGCTGAAACTGAAAACAGTATTTCTTTATTGTAAGTTTTTTTCTATACGATTCATTCTCCTTAATCATCAATCAATCTTTTCGTTTAGCAATCCAAAATATTCAGTTCGTATTGATCCGGATGAAATACCCGAAGTACCACAGAATCGTTTTTTGCAACGAAGTTTTCGGCCAGCTCCTTCCACAAACGAAACAGTTATCAAAAACAAAGATAAAGAAGAACCATCTAGAAAAAGTCGTTCCCTTGAATCCTCGTCAAATAATAACCGAAATGACCGATCATATGAAAGACGTATTTTATATACACGTTCGGGACGGAAAATCAAAGGTCGTGGTTCAGTTCGATATCGTACACCAACACCTGATGATGATGATGATCATCGTTATCGCAGGTCCTCATATTCTTCACGAAGATGGCGTAGAAGTGAAACACCACCATATTGGCGTGCTGAACAATCAAAACTTCGGCCATGGAAGCAGATAATATCCGATATGGATCGTGCGAAAAAACGGGATTCTGAAAAGGATAAAAGCCGTCAAAGAAGTTCTCGTTCACGTTCAAATGAACGACATCATCGTCGTCATCGTCATCACCATCGTGAAAGCAGAAATAATGAGCATGATGATCATTCTAATCGAAATAACGATCGTCATCGTTCACGAAGTTCAAGTCCAACAAAATATCAAGATCGAAAAATGGATGAAAAAAATGGCAGACATAAAAGAAAATTTCGAGAATTTCCATCACCACCACCTTCATCAGTATCGGAAAAACGCAATTCCAATTCAAAACACACACAATCTCGAAAATCAATAGAAAAAGAAAATCATCCACAGGATTTACAACAAAATGAATCAAACGATATCAACACCGCCAACAAATTGCAAAAAGCAATCGAATTGAAAACCTAAAAAAATGTTCATTCATTCATGTTTTTACAAACCAAGCATTTGTTTGCACTTGAATCAATTCTGCATTCGAATATTAAAAATTCATTTTATTTAATTTGTTCATTTTCCAGAAAACTTTTCCTTCATCATTATCTGAATACTCAATGTTATTTTTCCCGTAAAGTTTCTTTATTCGATGTTCATTTGATTAAGCAAGATCCAAATAAAGAAAATTCATTTATAACACCTTTATATGCGTGCCGTATTAATGGTGTCCAAAAAGCAATTTGGCTTATCGATCCAACAGAAAAAATTCGACGAACACACCCAAAAAAAATCCAACTTGTTTTGGGTTAACTTTCATTCTGAAAAAATACCTTTATATTTTGGGTTACCCTTGGTTATAATATTTTCATATTTTGACAAATGTTCTCAAGAACGCAATCGCAATTTTTGTTGGTTTCGATGATTTTTCCTTTCATATCGTTTGGGTCCCGACAATTGTGTTTTGACAGTGGAATTGGTGGTTGAAAGAATAATTTCAATGAAACGATTCGACCAAGCCCAAGTAGCAATCATCTCCATTAAATAATTTAATTTCACTCAAAAACAATTTTCTTTCGAATCTTTTATTGTTGTTGCATTTTAATACATTTTTTATTGTTGTTGTTTTTAATGTGATTTGAGTTAACTACGAAAAATTCTCCAATTTTTTTCATTTAAAAATACCTCGAAAAGCTAACCATTCGAATTCGAATGATACAAAAATGTCGAATAATATTGTTCCAATTGAACAACCAAATAGTCAAAAACCATCAAGTAAGTTGTTATGCTTTAATGTTATGGATTAATGATTAACCGTTTCTTTGAAATGAAGATAGTGCATTCAAGCAACAAAAATTATCGGCTTGGCAGCCAATTCTGACGGTTGGAACAGTATTACCTACATTCTTTTTGATTGGAGTTGCATTCATACCGGTAGGAATTGGTCTATTGATCTCATCGTATCAAGTTCAGGAATTAGAAATCGATTATACATCATGTGAACGGAGTCAAATCACCCCACACATTCCTCGCAATTCAACAGTATCTCCTCCCGCAACACTTTGTTCGGAATTTTTAGCTAAAAATCCTACTGGAAATTGTAGCTGTATGGTGAATTTGGAACTTGATGCCGATTATCGTCGTGATGTATTCATTTATTATGGTTTAACAAATTTCTATCAAAATCATCGACGTTATGTCAAATCCCGTGATGATTATCAACTTCTTGGTCATATACGTGCCGGCCGTGAATGTTCCCCATTTGCACATCGTATCGATCCCAATGATGGAATATTGAAACCAATCATACCATGTGGTGCTATAGCCAATAGTCTTTTCAATGATACATTTCAATTGGAACGTTTGGTTCATGATGCCAGTAATAATCCTACCTATAATGAAGTTCCATTAATCAAAACCGGAATAGCATGGGCAACTGATAGGAATAAATTCAAAAATCCACCCATGCCAAAAGGATTGAATAATCTAGCTGCTGCTTTCAATGGCACACTTCATCCAGTAAATTGGCCTCGTCATGTTTACGATCTTGATCCTAGTGATCCCAATGATAATGGTCTACAAAATGAAGGTCTTATTGTGTGGATGCGTACGGCTGCCTTTCCAACTTTTCGTAAATTGTATGCACGAATCCGCCACGATATCAATGAGAAGGATGTTAGTTATCAGGAGGGATTACCTAAAGGCAAATATCGACTGCATATCCAATACAGTAAGCACCCATTACCAATGTTATCAGTCTGAACAAAATCAATCATTCTTTATTGCAACAATAGATTTTCCTGTTGCCGGATTTAAGGGTAAAAAACGATTCATTATTTCAAATACATCATGGCTTGGTGGACGTAATCCGTTCATTGGCGCTGTTTACATATTAGTTGGTTTGACAGCATTGCTGCTATCCGGATTATTTCTGATAATCCATAAAAAATTTAGTCCAAGGTTTGTATCCACCATCAAAAAGTCTTATCTAATCTAATGATTTGATTATTGTGCAAACAAACCAAACAGTTCTTCAGACAATTTAAACATTACATCACAGACCCCGTTCCTCAATTGATGTCGATAACAACGGTGTTGATCATCATGCTGAATCTAGAAAATCATTGTCTATAATTCTTAATCTTGTTGTATTAACAAATATCATTATCATCTATTATTGATTGAATTGGATGATGATGATGATGTTATCATCCTTATTTTTTCTCTTTTATTCAAAATGCAAATATATTTCATTAAAATAAAAAATTACTTGTTATCTTTCCATCAATCATATTCGATTTTATTAATTCTAATTCGAAGAGCCTATTTGAACCATCACAAGTTCTCTTGGGCCTAAATAGACTTTGATTCTATGAACAAATTCGTGATCATTGCGCACAAATCATGATTCATGTCAATCAATATTCTCAGGTGGATGTTTGCAAACGGCTAAAAATTAATTAATTTTATTGAACATTACTTTTTTATTGATGATTTGATAGCTCATCGATTTCCATGTACCAAACACACACACACAACAATCAATTGTGTGATTGGATTAATGTGATTACATGCAACAATTGATCAAAAACAAACAGTCAAGAAAAATTTGTCAACAACAAATCGATTGATTTTCGATAATAATGATGATGACTGATGATCAATATAATTGTTATAAATGATAAATTCGATGACAACATCATCATTGTTGTAATAATAATGGATTATGATAGCCATATTAATATCTGCAAATGTGTCTATATTACAATCATCTATTCAATATTTGCAATGATGATTTTGATTTTGGATGAGCATTATTTTTATATAAAGATTTATTTTTTGAAAATCATCCTCATCATTTCAAACTTGATATCACTATAGCATAGCCCAAAACGAATCGTTTCTTCTTTGTCAAGTATGTTTTGCATTTTCGATTTCGTCAAACAGTTTGTCTGGCCATCTTTCGAAGAAAAACCTGTATCTGGTCAACACAACAAATTAAGGATGCTTTTGTTCATTGATTGTGTTGCTTGACCGTTAGTTGAGGGCGCATCAGATTGATCTGTCTATCTCTGCCATATCTCGCTTTCTCTCACTTGGCAGAAAAAATACCGTTATTCCACATTTAACATTTAGATTGAGATAGATTGAGTGAATTGTAAAATTGTAGATTCATCATTAGATTGCTTATAATCTATTTCATTTTGTTTCGTTTTTTCACCAAAAGAATGGCCCTTAACGATGATGTGAAAAATTTGCTTCAAAAATATGGCCAGCAACATTTGCTACAATTTTTCGACCGAAATTCTCTCGAACAAAACAAACAACTGATCGATGATATCAATTCGGTTGATTTTCAATCCTTATGTCGTGATGAGTATTTTAAAAATTCTGATCATTTGATTGAATCGATTGAACAACAATTGCAACCATTAGATGCCAAAATTCAACAAGATATCCGTCAAACATCACCCGAACTGATTGAAAAATATCGTCAACTTGGTGAGTAAAAATAAAAAATGTTTCCTATTCACCAAGCAATCAATCAATCGGTACAGGTCTGGAAGAAATATCCAAAGGTAAAGTTGCTGTTTTGCTGTTAGCCGGGGGTCAAGGAACACGACTTGGTTCCAGTTTACCCAAAGGAATGTTCGATTTAGGATTAGCTTCGCATAAAACTTTGTTTCAAATTCAAGCTGAACGAATTTACAGGCTGCAAAAAATGGCTGGAAAATCCGAGGCTATAATTCCATGGTATATTATGGCTTCGGAGCATACACTCAACTCAACCATTGAATTCTTCAAGAAAAACAATTATTTTGGTTTGGATGAGAAAAACATCATGTTTTTCGAACAGGATAATATTCCTTGTTTCACTTTGGATGGTAAAATCATTCTCAAACAAATGTTCAAATTGGCGCGGGCACCAAATGGTAATGGTGGTCTGTATGAAGCGATCAGTAAAAAAGGAATTCTAAATGATATGCAACAACGTGGTATCCACCACATCCATGCTTATTGCGTGGATAATATTCTGGTCAAAGTTGCTGATCCGGTATTCATTGGTTATTGTGCGACCAAAAATGTTGAATGTGGTGCAAAAGCAGTGGAAAAAATGAATCCCAATGAAGCTGTTGGTGTTATTTGTAAAGTTGGCGGTCGTTATCAAGTTGTTGAGTATAGTGAACTTTCAGAAGAAATATCTCAACAACGTGGTGCGGATGGTCGATTGATGTTCAATGCTGGCAACATTTGTAATCATTATTTTACGCTGAAATTTCTTCGGGAAAAAGTTCGTTATGATGAACTTCCTTATCATTTGGCTAAAAAAAAGATTCCCTATGTTGATGGTGAAGGTCGCCCGATACAACCAGACAAACCGAATGGAATCAAATTGGAAAAATTCATTTTCGATGTATTCCGATTCGTTGAGTAAGTCACTTGAATCGCTTGATCTTCTTTAAACAAATTTTATTTCAAAATTCAGTGAGGATAAATTTGCCGTCTGGCAAGTGATTCGTGAAGATGAATTTTCTCCATTGAAAAACAATGATCAAGCTATTAGTGATACACCGACAACAGCACGTTTATCATTGTATAATCTTCATCAAAGATATTTGCTTAAAGCTGGTGCCAAAATCATTGATGGTCAGAATGGACAACCAGTTCCGTTACCGTTAAGGTTTGTTTCTTGATAATGTCTTTGATTTTTTAACAAAAAAAAAATTCCTTTATTTTCACTATGACGATTCTTTTAAATTGTTTACAGTCCTGTGTTAACTACTGACAAAAGGTAATTATTAAATTTAGAATATCAATTTATTAATCATCTCCTTGAACTAATCCCTTTACAGCAAATATTCGAATCAAGTTGTCTGTGAAATATCACCATTAATATCGTATGAAGATGAAAATCTGTTGGATTTGGTCAACGGTAAAACATTATCGACTCCTGTCATTTTAAGCTAGAATTGTTTTGATTTGAAGGTTCATTTACTATTTTATTAATCCAATGTATTTTTTTTAAACAAATCAATAATGTTGAAGTTGATGATGATCATGAAAAAATTAAAATAAAATAAATTAATGTTGGTTTGGTGTTGACGATGATGGTGTTGTTTAGTTGTTTGTACACCTTGACATATAATAATGGCTATATTTTTGTTTAGAATTTATTGTTGTTGCCAATATTAATGGCTCAATGAGGAAAAGTTTCTCTCTCAATCGAATGGCGTGATCGATCAATCGCGATGAATTGATCAACCATTTTTAAACACAACAGGAAAAGAAAAGAGATTTGCCCATTTCTCTTTTAGTTTTTCCCAAATCTATTTGGTCGAATCAAAAATTCAATTTTGTTTTTTTCAGTTTAAAAAATCAATTGAAAGAAAGAAAAGAAAAACCACCATCATTGTCTACAGTGTGATATGAGTGGTGGCATTATCTTGCAGTTTGAAACTACGTCAAAGTTTTTAATATGAATTTCTCTTTGTTTGTCGTTATCGTTTTCATTCATTTTCATTGATTTTGTTCAAATACAAATTGCTAACCACAAATCAAACAACGAATCTATTGGACTTTATTATTCTATTTGATACAAATTCCATCATTGTTGTTGATAGAAACTAGTTTTTTCTGTTCAATTTGTTTCTCTTTTGCTTATTGTCAAATATATTAATTATTTGTTAACATTTAAAAACAACCGTTGTTGTTTGTGTTTAGATTTTTTTATGGAATGAAAGAAAAAAAGAGTCTTTATACCTGATGTGATTTGCTTTTCGAAAAAAGGTCGTCTATATTTTTTTGATTTGAAAAAATCCATGGATACATGCATAGTATGTTTTCTCCATATTGATTATTAAACAAGATCGAATCATTCAACCATGATGTCTAGGATTTGAACACAAATAAATGATACTTGTTGTCAACTATAATTGCTGCTGATTTTTTTGCATGATGACGATATTTTTCAAAACTTTTTGCATTCGATGACAACTGATCATAATGATGATGATAATTTTTTGACCGATATTGTATCACAAGATAAGAGATCTGTGAGGAAAAATGTGGATCATCATCATCATCATAAGCATCAAATGCGATTCGATCCTAACTGATTGATTCCTATGAGGAGGAAATTTTCCTGATCATCATTTGTGATTAATTATTGCGATGATTCAAATCAAATGAACAAATCATTCAAACAAACAAACCAAACATGTCGTCCATATTGAGGCTCATCATTCGCTTTGTATTTTGGCATTTTAAACAATTTGCCTCGATATATCACTACCTCCTCTTTATACAATGTCTTCTATTTATAGATCCCAATCATCATCACCATAATGTAACAGCTTCCATGAGGAACATTGATCAATCGACATCTATTAATGATTTATCATTCAATTGTTCTTCACCATCGATGAATGACACAACCTGTTCGAAAGATCTCAAACTAATCTGTGATGTGCAAAGTGGACGTTGTCAATGTCCATCGACAATGCCTGTACGATTATCGCCGGAAATTCCTTGCCTGCCGTATAAATTTCTTGGTGATCTCTGCATTCATTCGGATGAATGTGGTCAAATTGAAAATTCAGTTTGTGTGGCAACATTTTTATTTTCCATAAAAATTTTAAATAAAACACCTTCCTTCAAACAATGGTTTTTCTACAATAAAATTCACAACGATGATGATATGAATTATTTGCTCAACAAACTATATGGACGTTGTCGCTGTCAAAAAGGATTTCGAGCAGCAAACCGTTCGCAATGTATACCATCAACATTCGATACTCCTGTTGTTTGCGACAATCAACGAGATTGTGCATCCATTCCAAATGCTTATTGTAATCGTGAACGATGTCGATGTCCTCACGGATATTATTATGATTCAAGTGACAAACATCGTTGCAATGAAATTATCAATTTGTATGGCGAATTTTGTGCATCATCATCCGACTGTTTTATTCAACAATCAAATATGGAATGCAAAAATTCTCGATGCATTTGTTCTCGCCAATATTCCTACCACAATGAAACTGGATGCGTCCGTAATTATAATATTTGCGATAACGAATCTACTACCAACATTGGTGTTCGTAATCAGAAGCGGCAATCAAATCTATGTCAACAACAAACATCACCGCTTTCAACAATAAATATTTGTCGTTTTGTGGTGAAATCATTTCCATTGATATTGATTGCAATCATAATATCCAATCTTTTCTGCTATATTCGTACAAGAAAATCATCATCATCGTTAAGTCACCGATTATTTCGGCATCAACGAGAAATTCATGAAATTAGACGTCGATTCAGTGAACAAGAACAACATCGGCGACAAATCAATTCCAACAACAATCATCATTTGTCATCAATTGATCAAAATGACCAAAGAATTCAATCATGTTCATTATTATCATTACCCGATTATGAGACTGTATTCAGCGACAACAATCAAACAATGCCTGTTATAACCTGTCAAAATCATAATCAACATCATCATCCGCAAGAACGACTGCCAACATATGAAGAGGCCATTGTTTTGTCCTTGAAAAATTCCATCACCGATGGTCATACTGATGATGATGATGATAATGTTTCCCATCAACAACTTGTTTGATAATGCTATATTAATGTTTTCATCGAAAAATGGCTGGCCATTTTGGATAAATGAACAAATTGTTTGATTTATATTTTATATTTCATTTTTGTCCTGTTTTGTTTTCATTTTTCCTTGCCCACCATCATCATTATATTTGTTGTCCTTATTGATTGTTAATAAATTTTTCGTTTTTTAAATCAACAAAAGTTTATCGATTATGAAATTTACCCAAAAAATAATTGGTTTTCACACAGGTATCGATTGTACAATATCGATTGTTCAAACGACCATAAGGAAAAATAAACGAAAGTTTTATCTCATTTTATCTATCGGGCTGTGAAATCAGTGAAAAAAGGGAAAAGGATTTTTGAATGACATACATTTTCAAAAAGGTAAAAACTATCAAGTTTATCCGAAAAAAATGAAAAATAAAAAATTTTTCCGGGAGATCTTGCCTTGACCTGTTTGAATATTGGTCACCATCATCATCATCGAAAGTCGAAAAATGGATGGTCACCATCATCACCGTAGTCGTGGAAAGTAGAAAAGTAAGCAAAGGTAAATAAACAAACGGAAAAATCATCGATAAACTCTTGCTCTGCATTTTATGCTGTTCCATTTCATATTATAGATCCTGATTTGCAAAAAGGTTGTCCATGTAATGATCCATTATAGAAATGATAACTTTTTTGTTTGAAAAGTTCGTGAAACTTTGTGTTGATAATGATAATGAACACCAAAAAAATATATACTTTTTCAAGGTCTAACCATGGTTGACCAAATAAACAAAAACAAGAACAAGCGAAAAAAGGCGTAATATTTTTAGCAAAACAACAATGGTAATTTATACAGGAAACAGGCAAATCAAATTGGCTAAACAAAAACAATACTAAACAAATGAATGAATGAAATGTATACGAAAAAAACTACAGTTAAAGGATTTGGCGTCAACACAATTTATCCTCAATTGGTGGCCACTATTGCGGCAATTTTTTTAGTGGCTGCTGCTGAAATGCATGGAGGCATGACGACGACCACCACCAATAAAACAAAAGGCATTCATTTCAAATGGCTACTGGTTTTTGTTTTTCGGTCACAAATATTTCTGGAACACATTTTCAGATTTGGTGTTGGTGTTGATGACTACCTATACAATGTTGGTGAAATACCTTTATTATTATATTATATTTTGATTTTTGTTTTGATAATAAATAAAACTTGAATATCAAAATCCAGTTGTATTGTTACCATTCATTAACTTTGATTAGTTAACATGTGCAGCTAACAATAATAATCATTTTGAAATTTTGAATTTTCCGTGTTTATCATTAACAACTTTTTTTAATGGTCATTATTTCCGAATGATGATTATCCAAATAAATAAATCATTTTTTGTTTGTTTTGATAGTAACCTGGTTTGAATTCAAAATTAGCTCCAAATGTTCCAACAAAAAAGCCATGTTTGTTGTTATCGAAATTTGAATGAATAGTTGCATTTCCGATTTTCTCAATCATTTTTCGAATCACTTATTGATTATGATGAGATGCTTAATTATCAACTACAGTGATAAGAAGAACATTCAGCCAATTGGACAATCAATCATAATTCTAGTCATTATATTGAATGTGATATGCATTTTTGCCCCAACATCATGTGTTCAACATCATCAAGTTTATCGTCGTGAAAAACGTCCTGATCGCTTAAAATTTGAAATCGAACGTCCCGTCGATTGTAGTGTGATTGGCCATCCAAATGCTACATTGAATGAATGTGGATATTGTGTTGGTCAACAAACCAACCTGGATTTCGATCATGGAAAAGATTGTCAAGGAGGTATACTATAAATTTGCTGTTCAAAAAAATCTGATAAAATTTTGTTCAAGTTTGTTTTGGTAATACAACCATAGATTGCATGGGTGTTTGTGGTGGCGATGCATATCTTGATGAATGTTCAGGAATTTGTATCCAACCAGGTAGGTGATATTTTGTTCGGAGAAAAAAGAATCATTTTGCAACAAAAAATTCCACAGATTTAGTTGCAATCGATAAACATTCATCAATAGTATTGATGAATCGAGATTGTCGTGGATTATGCTTGAATCCATCGGCAACTGTAATTGCAACCGCAACTGACAGCAACGACAAAGAATCGTCATCGAATCAACAACAACAAAACAATCCATCAGTTACTGCAACACAATCATATCAATTGGATCGTTGTGGATTTTGTTCACTTTCATCCACACAACAACAATCAACACCATCAATGAATGATCCAATGACAATGTTGTCACCATCAATGGATTGCAAAGGAAATTGTCAACTTCCTGGCTTAGTCAAGCATTCGATTGTATGCGGACAATGTATTAATCAACAAAATGAAATGTCAACTGTTATCGATAATTGTGGACATTGTCTATCCGAAGGTCATCCATGTTCTTGTGATCGGTATGTTCACTCAGTCAACCATAACAAAATAACAAAATGGATATTATTTCATATAGTGATCCAATACGCTGTGGTTGTATTGATCAGAATAATTGTTATCTGATCAAAAACCTGATGCCAATGGCTATACCTAGTACGGTTCCCGTCAATGTAAGTCAATGTATTTCATTTCGACAAATTTTAATCTTTTTTAAATAACCGACAAACAAAGATATCGATTGTTGGTTATTTTTATCCATATGTAAATCAATTGTATTGTGTAATACGTTCACAATCTGAATTTGAAATTATCGAATCATTTCCGGTACAATTTTTATATAAAAATAAAACATTCATACAATGTACAGTCAAATTGGAACAATGTATGTATTATAATTACTTTTCACTCATTTCTCTTTTTTCCTCAATCAATCTCTATTGTTGTTTGTTGCAATCGAAAGGGGATGTTTGTGTGTGTGTGTGTGTATGAAATACAATCGACTCAATTTAGTTTAGTCATTCGATAACCAAAAAACAAAACAAAACCATTTTGGAAATATAATATTATGTTATGGATAATTATTGGGAGTGGAAATAGAAATTATTTGATTATTTTTTTGAATGGCTTGAGATTATGATTATGATTATGAGATGAAATGTCCATTAATTATCATACGTGATCTCATTATCAAACAGTTTTGGTTTGATATAAACATTAAATTCATGGTCATCGGTATTGGAGATATTTTGCTAAGCACTGAAAAATGAATGAAATTATTTTCACAGGAAATTCTCATGAAATTTACACAATTTTTGGGTTTTTCCCTATATTTCCTTTTCTGTAATCTGATAATAATCTGATCATGAATTTCTTTGCTCCAAACAAAATGTATAGCTGGCCAATATGTAATGGGTTTAGGTTTTCGTTCGAATGTGCTGATCACACCTCCGAAAGATTTGCTGCAACTATATGTTTTCGATTCGAAAGCAGGTAAGTCCGCTCATACCAATCAATAATATTTTGATAAAATCCTCATTAATTAAATTCACTTAGTTAATCTGACAACAATCCAACCACAACGATCATTTTCCAATGAATCTGATTTGCCATTAATGATCAAATTTAATGATGACGATAATCATGAACTGCCTCCAACACCTATTCGATGTTTAGTTCAATACGAAAGTGGTGAACAAGAACTTAGTGATTATGGCCAAGATCAATATTCATGTCGATTAAAGGAATCTGGATTGCGAACAAAATCACAAACAATACGTTTGTATCCCACATTTGATGGCATCAATCTAATCGGCCAAGGATTTGATCATCTAATTCAAGCTTCCGCGCCGAAAATATTTCCATTATCCTCATTCATATCGGAAGATAGCCTGTCGATCATTGTTAATTTTGATAAATCAGTCAATATTGAATTGATTGAAAATCATATCCGTGAAAATATTGTTGATATTGGTGATGATGATGATTTGGCATTAATAATGTGTGATTATCTTCTCACCGAATCAACTATTGAACAATTGAGTTTATTCGAATTGGAAAGTTGTCGATGGGCAACACGAACACAATTTATAATATCCATATTGAAACCATTTGCATCGGATATGATTGAAATCCAATTCAAACCACAAGTTCTATCGGAATATGGACAAAAATATTCCTTATTGAACGAAGCATCATCGGCAAACATATCAAAACTGTCCAACCATTTGAATTGGTGGAGTTATGAACCAATGATTGCCATCATTGGACCTAATGAAATTTCTTTTTGTGGCATATTTTCATTGATTGGACATTATTCATCACCACGTGGTACAACCGATGTAGATTTTGAATGGAAAGTCTCCGGTGAAGTAACTTCGGATTTAAGACAATATGTTCAAAGTCAACGAAAATCAACAAATCTATTGTTGAATGCTGAAATGTTTGATATAAATACTGAATATTTGTTTACATTCACTGCATTCATACATGCACGACGTCAAAGTATCGAAGCACAACACTCTTTAATTCGCCTTGGATATGAATCACCAAATTTGATTATTTACTCAACCAATCTATTGAACAACAATCCCATTCATGAAAATGATCCAGTCATATTGTTTGGTGATTTTACCATACCGGATTGTATATTTCCACCACAATTAATAACAATGCATTGGGCAACTAATGATCCATCAGTATTGTTTCCAATCAAACAAATCAGTAAACGCTATTCATCGATATTTCCTATCGAACCATATTCAATGCCACCAGATCATCTGACATCATTCACATTGAACGCTTATATTGGTTTCTATACAAATCAATCAAGCAAAGCTATGTTTTCCATTAAACCAAAGCCAGTGCAATTGAAAGCTAACCCAGCCAATGGAATTAATCGTATTACAATTGGTTCAAAAAGTGGGATGCTTATAATTCCATCCAACACCAATGATAATATCCGTCAAAAACGTTTGGTTTATCAATGGAGTTGCCATGACACGAAAACTGGACAACCTTGTTATTATAATTTTCAATCATCATTCAATCATGGTGGTTTACATAAAAATCCATTGTTAATCACACGCGAAATTCAAACACAAAGTTCATTAGTATTGAATTCAAGTTCATTTCAACCGAATAATCAATATTTAATTGGACTTCAAGTTTTCGATGCAAATGATAGTCGTTCCAATTCTGAAACAGAATATATTTTATTGAATGTTTTGGATGGTTTGAAACCACAAATATTCGTAGGTCCTGTTTATATAAATGGTGAATATTTAGTACCATATAATCAGCATTTTTCTACATTTGTTATTCCATCGGGAAGTGATATTGTAATCAAAGGAAAAGTTTTGCTTCAAAATGGTTTGAAATCGGTTCAATGGAAATCACAAACATTTCGTTATCCATTATTATGGGCTAATGATCCAATCAATGGCGGTGATCAGGAAATTCATACCGAACTTTATTTATATGGAGGTTTGTTTGTTTGCATTAACATTGATGATTTTTGTTTTCATGCTTTTTCATGTCTATCGAAACAGATACATTGACTGCATATGGAACATATAATTTTAAATTAGAAGCATGCAGTTATACGAATGAATGTAGTTGGGCAGAAATTTCATTATTGGCAGCTCAATCAACAACAATGTGTGAAGTTGGAATTGAATCTCATGTTGAATTCGAAATGGTAAGCTTAATCAATCACCTGCTATTCACTTTGCATTCATTTTGTTTGTTTATTATATCACTAGACGTTTGCCAGTATTGAAAAGTGTAATCTTTCACCAAGTTCATCACCGGTTACTTATCAAATATATTTGGAAGATGAACATTATTCATTGAAATTACCATTAACAATGCCACAACTATCACCGGTGATAATTTTTCCAGGAATTCCTGTACCAATTTTTAATGAAAATCAATTCACACGATTAACGGTGAAAACATGTGATCGTTTTCAAACCTGTACACTACATCGATCATATCCAATACGTGTTGAACATTCGCCTAATTTAACCCAATCAATTTTACAATTAATACAACATGCACGGCGAGTATATCAAACTGGTGATATGCTTATGGCAATGAACTATTTGAATCCTATCCTATTGAAACATGATTTCGAAACAATAGAAAACGTAACCAATTTATTTGAAATGGCAATCAATTCAAGTATTGAATTTGCAACCACAGCATTACAATTACCAAATTTAACCCTAAGTCCAGGACATTATGAATTGATGTTCAGTATGTTTAGTCATGCATTACATAAAACCGACAAACTTGAATTACGAAGAAAACTGCTTAATCTTATTATACGTTATTTTGAAAAAGCTGATGCTCATCACATCAAAATATCGATCAAAAATATCCGTATCATTTATGCTAATGTTATGAATTCATTTGTTTCATTCAATCACAATCATCGCCGAGAGAATGATGATGAAGAAAATCGAAAATTCCTCAAAGATATACGTCAAACATATCGAAGCATTAAGCAAGCGATTGCAACAAGAATACCATTAGGTGCACATACAGTAATATTGGCAGAACGAATCAATTATCACGAAGATGCAACAACCACAACCACATTGCCAACATCCAAAATTCATACAGCCTATACTGAAATTGTTCATTCGGATAATGTTGAAGATTTATTTCTAAAAGTACAAATGTCTCCCAATCAAACGATTCAAGCCAAAGTGCAATTTGGACCAGAAATTCGACAAATGTTCAATAAAAGTTGGAATTGTGGTCGCCCAAGACATTTATGTTCAAGTATTGTACAATTTGTTACTGTATTCCCGGATGATAATCCATTTCCTCATCCAAGTGATCAACAATCACATCGATTATCATCCATCATCGATATATCTATTCATGATCCATATAATGGTCGTGAACAATCGATTCGTGGCCTATTTAAAGCATCTATTTTTGAATTGACTGTTATTGGAAATGATTCCTTCGGTGGATCAGATTATTCCACTAAATGTCATTATTTTGATGAAACCAAACAAAAATGGTTGATGGATGATATACATCCATTAGGCATTGCATATAATCAAGCTGGTTGTTGGTCTGGTCATCTTTCCAGTTTCATTGTTCTAAGAACAGTAATGGGAATTAATGCTGATTATGTAATCGGGGTTTTAGTCGCCTGCACCATGGGTGTATTGGTATTGGGTATGATGGTTGTTTTCTATGTTCAACGCAAAAATGATAATATTGCTGCTTCGAAAAAAGCTGCCGATGAAGCAAAGAATGGCCATTCAATCGATAAAAGCAAATTATCCAATGATAATGATCAATATTCAAAACGAAATGAACATATTGCCAATCTTAAACGAAAACATCATACAGCCAAAGTTGGTGTTGCAAATGAAACCGAAACCGAAATTCAAAGCAAAACGATTGTAGTGACTGAATGACAATTCAATAAGGTATTTAATATACCCAACAATTTTATATTTTCATTTCCACAAAGACAAAATCCCAATGTTTTAGCCAACCCAACAATATTCATTGAATAAACTTTTTTTAAAAATCAAATAAAACATGGCACCATCTGCTTGTTGATATTTAAACAGTTATGGTCCATCGGGTAAAAGAACTGGATATCAGGTAAAGAGAGAGAGAGAACAAGACAAGACAGGACTAGATCAACCTTAAAACACAATCAATTCATTCATTCATTCAATGCAATATGAATGGTTGAAAGCAAGTTTCTTAAGGTGATGCTCGATTCAAGTTAGTTGGACGATGGTGGTAGATCGTACCGTTATGATATCATATAATAAATGATCAAAGGTATATGTCATTGACCTTAAACCCACAACTACAATCATCATCATTATTTTGCTTTCAACTCATAAACATTGAAAACAACCAAACACCGATCAAAATATTTTCAAGAAAAAATGAATTTTATTTTCAAATAATAATCGTTATCGATTCACAGATTAGATTAGATAAACAAAAAATGTTTTCAACAAAAATCAATCGAAGTAATAAAACAATGATTATTGGATTGTTAATCTTATTCCTGAACATCTCTTCCACTACCAATCAACGATCCAAAATTTTATCCAGTTCAACAAAATCATCACAATGGCAAGGAATTTCACCTACGCTAAATCAATCGTCATCCGGATCAGTATCGTCATTACAACAGCCAACTCAACAACGTATTCATCAATTGAATAAATCACAAAATGAACAATGGATTGGTAATGGTCATCTGCAATTTACATTCGATTTATTGGCCGCTATATTTATGAATAGTATTGATTTGAAAACTGGAAATTTCGACTCGATTGTATTTTCCCCATTCAGTATTCAATCAATGTTAATGATGATACATTTAGGTGCTAAAGGTGTGACGCGAAACGAAATTACCAAAATGTTGCATTTGGATCCATCGGAAAATAATGTTACATTTTCCAAAACACATGAAGCTTATAGCCAAGCTGTCAAAAGTTTAATCGACGATTCAAACATAAGTAAATCATTGCATAGTGCTAATCAGATTTTTGTGCAAGAAACGCTGCAAGTTTCCCCAACATATTTATCCGCATTGAATCATTATCATTTTTCCTCGATTCGTTATCTGAATTTTGCGAAAGAATCGAATCAAGTATTAACCACGATTAATGATTGGATTGAAAAACAAACCCAACATATGATTACCAACTTCCTCACAACACCACCATCACCGGCAACAACATTAATGGCTGTTAATGCTATCCGGTTTAAAAGTGATTGGCAATATCGTTTCGATCCAAGCGATACCGAAAAAGCAGCCTGGTTTCGAATGTTGAACGGCCAAATGACGTCAGTCGATATGATGGTCGGTCAGCATCCGGTGGCATTTGCATATAGTCCATCGCTTCAAACATCAATCATAGAATTGCCATTCAAAATGCAACGTTTAAGTTTTTTCCTTCTACTTCCTAACGATACTTTTGGTCTGTTTTCATTGTTGAATTCATTGAACGCAACTGCATTTGCTGATCTAATTTATTCGATGCGTAAAGTTGGCAACAATAACAACAACGGTGATAAAACATTTGGAGCAGGATCACCAAGTGGTGGTGGTGGTGTGAATATTCGTATACCAAAATTTTCGATAAGTTCAATGCCACGAATTAGTGAAATAATGAAAACCCAAATGGGTGTGAAAAGTTTATTTTCAACTGAATCAGCTAATCTAGAAGCTATGTTCAATCGCTATAATGGCCGTATTCATATGGGTGATTTATTACATAAAGCTATCATCAAAATTGATGAACAAGGTAGTATTGGTGCAGCTGTAAGTACATCATCTATTGAACGTATCGGTGCATTTAATGGACCTTATTTTGAAGCTGATCATCCATTCATTTATCTATTGATGGATAAACAAACTGGCTTGGCATTGTTTGCCGGTATTTATGCTGGACCATCAAAAGATGATCAAAAAGAAATACAAAAATCATCAACATCAACATCTACAGCAACAGCAAAAACACCAATCCAACAACCAATGAAAAATCCCAGTCAACCGCAAACGCAACCACAATCGCAATCGCAACCACAATCATATCATCATCGTTTACATTTAAATCAATATACAATATTCGGTATGCAAACTGATAATATTGATAATAATAATAAAATGAAATATAAATTGTAAAATCTTTTTTCTAAATAAAATTTGAGCTTGTCGTTTTATTTGATTTTTGACTAGTTGAATCATTTTTATTGAAAAAAAGGGAAGAAAATATCCACCATAGTCATTGCCACAATTTGTTTCATTACAATTCACCCAGTCAAATCATTAATTGTTGAGAGCACGAGAGAAAATTTTTTCCGATTCTTCAAACGATAATGGCTATGGTGAATATTAATATTAGAGAAAAACATGAAATCTTTTCTTTTAAAAAATCAAAACTTACAGTCAGTAATTGATGCCTAAGCTGTTCAGTATTATTCAACAATAATAATTGTTTACGTTGATAAAATATCAATGCTTTACTTATTGAAATCAGTACATAAAATGGTCGTGATCCATTGATCAGGCAGCCAATTACTTTGTCCAGAACTCTATAGACCAAATTAAAAAAAATCAATCATATCATACACACACATCAATCAATCAATCATCATACCTAATAACAAAATTTTGATGTATTATACCGGCAAAAAAACGAACAAACCAAGTTATCATTGGTCGAAATTCATTTACTTTTTTCCTATTTATTAAATTCTGCCGACATATCCACGATGATGATGATGATGAATTTGATTGATTCTGTAATGTTGTTGATGATGGCTGTGGTGACATCATTAATGGTGTTTGCTGATTACCGGTTGTCGGTAATTGTTGTTGTTGATGATTATTATGAAAAAATTGATTAGAATTACTATTGTTGTTTGTACCGCCATTATTGTCAGTTTGTTGTTTGATGATTCCATTCTCAACCAAATGATTATGTAAGGCATTGTCTTCATGTGATAGATATTGAATGAATTTTTCATACTGCAATATTTGAATAAAATTATCCTATGGAAAATAAATGGCAAAATAGAAAAAGCTTTACCGTTTCGATCAATGTTCCCAGATTGGAATTGATAATCAACATGAAATGTTTATAAATCCAATAAGCATCTTCAAATGTATATGGTGATGACATTGGCGAATTTGTATGAACAAATTCTTTGGCAAAAACTTCACTTAAAACGAGTAAATCACATGTATCCATTTTTTGTAACTTAATAATAAAATTAATGATAAATTTCTTGCATAAATAACTAACTGACTAACCTGGTGAGCAATGTTTATTGTTGATGCTAATTGTCTGGTTTCCAATAGAAATATCAAGACAATCATACGCGGATGATCTTCAATATTAATTCTTTCGGCTAGCATTCGATTATCAATAACGGGGTCATTAATCAAACCCATTACTGTAAGTGCATGAATTATATCCATGACAATTTTACGTCGTACTTGGCATCGAAATTCGGTGATCCGATTGTCTGGCCGTATAACATCCAATAATAATTGCCATACTTGTTTACGTTGTCCAGATGACAGTGAATATCGGGAAGCCAATTGTGCTAATCGCGACAATAGATCAGGTGGATTTTCACGTAAAAGAATTTCTAATGATTTTTTCTCTTCGATACCACCGAAACCAACTTTTTCATAATAGCCATAACGAAAATTACGATCATCATTGGACGACATTCTTCATTCGTCAATCAATTCGATATATCACAGCCACTTTCACTCTCTATTCAACAAATCAATGTATTTTGTGCGTGTTGAGAGTATTATTTTGTTAACAGAGGAACCATAAATCGTTCATTTGATTGAACCAATATATCTGAGATTTTGAGGTAGATGATAGTGATGATAAAAGTGAAAAAAACATTCCCTCCAATCAAATCAATCGATCAATAAGAGAAAATGAATGAATGATGATGGTGATGCCACACTCTCAATGTTGATTGCCATTATTTGATAGGATAACTTTATTTATATGTCATGTCTTATACAATATCCATATCATTATACATTACATTACTTCTTTTACATTGGAATATTATTATTATATAATCAATTCATTCCATCAACAACAACAACAAACTAACAAACAACAACTAAAACAACAACAACATTCGAATCAATATGATCCTATTGCATTGACAAAAAAAGTGTGTATGTGTTTAAAGTAAAAAAATAAAATCAATTCATCTAAAAGGCGTTCATAATAAAATGATGATGTGCCAATTTCAAATCAAATCAATTATCCAATATGAATTGTATTGCAAGATTAAATTTGGAATAAAATTTTGGATCACATGGCTATTTTTTAAAAAAATTGATATTTGATGACGACGATATATATCGTTAATTTATCAATCTTTCAAGACAAGTGCATTTTCCAATTACGAGCAATAAAAAAAATACAAGGATAACAAGCGAACATTTTTTTTTTGTTTTGTTTGATTCCTCGATAGACTATGCGCGAATTCAATATATCCAATTCATGCACCAGCTGAAATGGCTATATCCATCCATGTTGGTCTTTGTTTTGTCCGTTGTTATTTTGTCTGAACGATATCTTCTTTACACAAAAACTTGAATGAGCTTGCCAAAAATCAGTTTTGATGTTCGTCAAGTAAGAATTTAATGTTGCGTCGTCATTGATGTGAATGTGATGATTATTCAGTTGATCTAAATTGGTGAAATAAAAAAACTAAGGAATTTTCATTTATTTCGTTTTTAGTTTCTTTATAGCAAAACATTCAAATTCAATTTCACTACGTCTTGAAATAAGCTTAATTCTACAAACATTTTGATTTGATCTCAAACCCTTTGAAACTTTCCTCAAGAAAAGAAAAATGGATAATAATAAAAATTATGTTATGATTTGTAATAAAATTGATTCATTATTATTCAAAGAAATGAAACAACTCGAAGTGAAAAATGGAATGTTATCCACCGTTGATGAATTGGCCGATCAAATAGCCCGGTTATGGAATTTGGATAAACAAACATTCGGTTTGTATTTGACAATCTTTTTAAATTGATTTTTTAATTATTTCTATTTACTCTGAAGATATTGTATGTTTTGGCAAATTATTGGATTTTTCAAAAACGCTGGATTTTTATGGCATTGAAAATGGTACAATGTTATATTTGTTGAAGAAAAAATCAACCACCAATTCGGCGGAAAGTGAAAAAAATTTGCAAAAATCCGACAAACCTAATGATAATGGTGATGTATCGAACAATCCGTCTTCGTCGTTTACGTTGACAACTGAACAACAAGGTCAATGTATTGCATTGAAAAGTGCACTATTGAATCCATCATTTCGACAAGTTATTGAAAATTTATCCGATTTTGATAATCGGGAAAATCTGATGACCGTTAATCAAGAATTACGAAATGATCCATCGTTGTTCGGTGTATTGAGCGATTCTGAATTGTTACATGCTTATATAAGTAAAAATAATATCAAAAATGTGTTGCAAAAATATCCACATTTTTTAGAAGTTGCTACACATGTATCAGCTACATTTCATGAAGAAATCAATTCCTCCACAATGCATCAAAATCTTGGTTATCGTGGCTCATCAATGAATTATTCAATCGATGCTATATCTGAAGATGAAGAAATGGATGAAAGTGAAACATCATCCATTTCATCAACCAATACAAATGGTTCATCGGTTCGTCGTTTAAGTGATCCAACATCATTCGCATCGATGCTGATGCAAGCATATAACCATAATCACAATCGTCAATCGCAACAACAACTTGCATCTAGCAGTAGCAGTAACAATCTAAACAATTCATCTGTTATCACACAAGGTATTCAAATTAATCATTCTTTTTGTTTGTTTTAATTAAAAAGCAAAATTTAATTAAATTGATAGATATGCTCCGGCAAGCATTGCAATCAACGTCATCATCGTCAAATATACCAAACATGATGAACGAAATGTCTTCATCATCCCATCATCATCATCATCATCCTCACCATGATCACTCTGATCGTCATCAACAATCTCAATGTGAAACATTTCCAAATATTGCATCAACGAATACACAACAAGATTGTATGGTTACTAGTCGTGATAGCACACGATGTAATACACCACAACCACCACCATCATCATCTTCGGCCGATCCAAATGATAATCGAACACCAGCACAGATTCTTATTGGTTGGGCACCACAATTACGTCAGATGCGTGAATTAGGTATTACCGATGATATTGTTGCCATACAAGCATTAGAAGCAACTAATGGTGATGTACAGGCTGCAATCAATATTATTTTTAGCGATATGTCTTAACAAAATGATGATAATTTCATTTTCAATTGGCTTCTTTCAAAAAAATTCGAATAAAAAATATTTAAATCAATTTTCATTTTTTACTCGTTAGATGGCGTTGACTGTTTGCAATAGAAAAATGTTAATAAAAAAACAACGTTGTTTTTCCTTTTCCCGTGTGTGTGAGTGAGCGTGAGTGTTTTATTTTTGGCCACACGTGCAAGTTGAAAATTTGTATTCATTTTTTTCTGAATTTTCATCGTAAAAAATAAATCTTATTTTAAAAATGGCCATTACACCTGTTTACAAACCGGAAATTATTAAAAAACGAACGAAAAAATTTCGTCGTCATCAATCGGATCGTTATCGTAAATTGAAGGTAATATTCTCCTTAAATTCAATTCAATTCGATTGTCAATGTTTTTCTATTTTGATTTTCAATTTTTTGTTTTATCAATGTTTAGCCAAACTGGCGTAAACCAAAAGGTATTGATAATCGTGTTCGTCGTCGTTTCAAAGGACAGATTTTGATGCCCAATATTGGTTATGGTTCGGCCAAACAAACCAAACATATGTTACCAAATGGTTTTCGTAAAGTTTTGGTACATAATTTGAAGGTAAGTTTGTTCATTCATTTACTTTGTTGTCCTATTCATTTATATGAATTATCAATTCTAAACTTTTTTGTAGGAATTGGAAGTACTAATGATGATGAATCGACGATATTGTGCCGAAATTGCACATTCGGTTGCATCGAAAAAACGCAAAGAAATTGTTGAACGTGCCCGACAATTATCAATCAAAGTGACGAATGGTGCAGCACGTCTTCGTACTGAAGAAAATGAATAAAAAACATTTTTTAAAATAAATTTTTTCTTTCATTTTGACTAAAAATAAAAATCTCATTTCCCAATTCGATCAATTGGTGTTTTTATCATTATTTTTTCCTGATCCGGTTTTTGATTTTCACACACACACATCATCATCATCATCATCGATGTTGTAAAACGTTCGATTTTTTTTGTGGAATAAAATTCGAATTTCGAATTTTCAAAGATTCGAATTATGTGGTGGCCACAAAGTTATAATGTGGATTTTTTTCAAAATTTCATCAAAATACATTGTATATGAATGGTTTGATTCATTAAAAAAAATCATGTTTATTTTTCATTCAATTTCGGAATTTTCTTTGTTTTTTGTTTTGTTTGAGTATCTTTTTTTTGAATCTTAACCAAAATCATGATCGTCTAAGAAATGGTCAACAAAGGTGTGAATGGTGTTGATAATACCATTAACATGATTGGATCATCATCATCATCTGGTGAAAATATTGTCAACGTTGAACATAATCATCATGGACTACATCGAACGACACCTGGTTCGTTCAATGAAATCGATGTACAATCGATAAATAATGATGAAGAGATTAAAAATCATTTCACTCATGTTAAAGTATTGCATAATTTTCGTGGTTCAAACAATGATGAATTGTGTATGAAAAAAGATGATGTAAGTTGTTTTGATTCTCAATCAATGTTTATCATTCATTCATTCATTCTATTCTGAAGATAATAACATTGACACAAACACCATCAGGTGGATGGTGGGAAGGAACATTGGACGGTATTACCGGTTGGTTTCCGGCCAATTATGTTCAACCTATTTCAAATCAAGATCCATTATATCAGCAAATTGTTCATGGTCAACAACAAAGTTCCTCGGGAATCGAAACACTACGCTCAGGATCATCGGAATTATGTCCAACAGGATATCATTCAGGAGATTGGAATAGTCCCGGTACACCGATTGATTCGATGAGTGATCATCTGGCTGAATATCGTTCAATCGTAATGAAAGTGATTGAAGATTCGGAAACACAATTTATTGAGTCATTACAAGATGCTATTAATCATTATTTGATGCCCATCTATCAATTTAAAATGTAAATAATCATTATTATTTCGAAATTGTTAGTTAAACTAAACAAAATAAAATGTTCATTCTATTTTCAGATTGCCCACCGAAACCGAATTGAATGCCGTATTACGATCAATCACTGAAATCTGTTCTGTTCATCGACGATTTTTAACATCGATTGAAAAAACTAAAAGGTTTTAGTTTTGTTATTGTTTCTATTTTCGTTTGAATTTGTAACCAATAAAATAATACGTTCCACTACTAAATAGTGTTCCTCACAAAGATAATCGTATTGGTGGTTTATTTATGCAATATGCTCCACAATTTAAACATGCTCATTTTGAATATTGTTCGCATCATGCCAAATTTGTTCATGTGATTGAAAAATACAAGTAAACTATTCCAATATTGACCCTTTTTTAAATGTTAATCCATCTTTTTCGCATTGAATAGAAAAGAAATCTGTGCCTTTTTCGCTACAAATCCTCAACCGGTACCGGTAAGTTTAGCTCAAACACTTGCTTCACCATCACATCAATTATCATCTGCATCGGCAAATCTTGCATCGATGCCTAACGTACAAATTACAGCATTATTAAGTGTTTCGTTTCGTCGGCTGGATAAATATCCTGCTCTATTGCAAGAACTTCAACGTTATACTGAAGAAAATCATTCAGATCGTGGAGATATTCAACGTGCCGGATTTCTTTATCGAGAAATATCTGTATGTATTGTATGCTTGATACATTTACAATTTATTAATCCAATTCAATATCATCTTTGGTAGATGTCTTGTTTGGAATTACGACGACGTAAAGAAATGGAACTGGAAGTTATGTTGGGCAATATTAAAAATTTTGATAAAATGGTTAGAAAATCAATATTATTTTGATTACTTTTGAATCATGTTGAATATTTTCAGAACATTGAATCGTATGGACAGATTATTAAAATGGAACCGGTTACCATATTATTGTTGCCTTTATGGAAAGAACCGAAAAAAGATTGCTATCTGGTATTATTTCCAAAAGTTTTGATGATTCTTTCGGTTGGCAAAGAAATGACTTCTTTCACTTATGAGGTTTGTTTGATCAAAAATGTAAAAAATTCTTCAAATTCTATTTATTCAATGCAGGCAATGATAAAATTAGAGAACGCTAAACTAAAACCAATCAATGCATCTACTGCTGCCGCTGCTACAAACGATTTTTCTATCGAAATATCCGGACAAAATGCCCATCCACAACCGGATCAATCTTCAACATCCGAACATTTGCAATATGTTGTTCGTTTTAACGATGAAGAAGTATGGCGAGATTATTATCAAAATTTACAAAAACAAATTCGTCATCAAACTATTTCGACCACAACACACAATCAATTGGCCGAATCTTCTAGTTCATCGATGCCACAAACTAGCGGTACCACTGTTGCCTCTTCTTCTTCATCATCGCAATCATCATCGGCCATATTTTCACCGCAATCATCAACATCATTGTCGATTACATCACCAGATCAGCCGGTTCCATTGTCATTACCACCGAAACCTCCTCAATATCGAATTCAACATATGATACCTCCTTGTTTAGAGGAAATACCTCCACCACTTCCCCATCATAGACGTTCACCTCCTGCTATACCACCACCGAATGCACCGAAAATGAGCATCGAATCGGTTTTAAAATCATTACCCAAACGATCATCTGGATATTGGTCGAATCAGATTCTAACACCGCATCAACCATATCGTCCAACCGATTTGCCCATACATTTCAATCAAATGGCAGCTGGTGATAGTGGAACATTGACCCAAGAATCACCCAATGATGATATGCAATTATTGAACGTAATCGATGCATATCATCGTAAATTTCCTTCGAATAATTGTCGTGGTAGTGGTGGTGAACATCAACTTTCATCATTGTCATCATTGTCTGGTAATGTTATTCATCAACATAAACGTATGAATTCAGCTAATGAACCTTATAAATCACAATCATTAGAATTAGAGCCTTATCAATATGTTGAAATAGTGGGGGTAAATAAATCCATTGGTCATCAGGCAAATGTTCATTTACAACGAAATCCATCCGCTAGAAATGCAAGAAAAAACTCGTTGACTATGTTAGCACAGAAAATCAACAAACTATCATTGTATGTATCTATTGAATGTTTTTTTATTTATATCTTTCTTTCTTTATATGCCTCTTTCAAAAATCAGATCATCAATGGATAGAGATGTCTTATATGAAATTTATGACCAACTAAGAGTAATACGTAACGAAATGAGTCATCTGGGAGAAAAAGTACGAGATGAACGTCGACAACGAAAACGAATACAACATTCATTGGCAAAATTACATCAACAGCAACAAAATAATTTAAATACATAATTTTTTTTAATTTGATAATAAAAATTTCAAATTTCTATATTTGCTTTTGCTTCAATTTTCATCATCACCTCCGACAATGTCGAAATCATATGGTAAATCCCCGACAGCTTCGAAAACAATCATATTGTTATTTGCTTTACGTTTTTGTTTCTTCTTTTTCAAGGATTGTTTTCTTGATTTTGGTTTCGGTGTTGTCGTCGTGACTGGTTCATTATCATGATGATCTCCATCTTCAATTTCATTGTCCTCATCGATTCTATTATTATGATATATTTTTTCAATATGATTCGATGCTGATACTGAATAAGTTGGTGAAACTGATGTTTCGGAATGAATTTTTGGGGGAATTACCATTATTATACCACCACCAGGATAATTTGATGTTGGTATAGGAATTTGTAAAGCAGGTGGCGTTTGAGTTGTAGTTTGTTGTAATTTAGCTGCATTCAATAAACTTTGAGGATTTAATGATATAATCGGTGATGACATAATGGTTGGTGATGGTAATAATTGTACGGTGGTTGATGGAGATTGTATTGGCAATGATTGTTGTTGTTGTGATGGTGGTGGTAATGATGGTTGCATTGAACGTATTAATTGCACCAAATCGATAACACGTTGATCCACTAATGGTGCTGGTGTTGGTGGTGCTTGTAGTTGTTGACTTTGTTGATAATGTTGCATTAATGATTGAAACAATGGCAATGATGACAATGATGGTGATTGAGATGTTGATGATTGTATCGTTGACGAACCAGATTGATTTGTATTACCAAGATTGAATTGAAATTTTAATGGATCAACACGTTGTATTGCTTGATTGAGAAATGCACGAAACATTGTTAATGATATTCCTTGCATCAACAACAATGAGAATATCATTCGAATCGGTGATGTCATCAATCCGAATACCATTTTTTTCAATTTAGAATTTTGATATGCTTTTCTGATGAAATATTTTCAAAGATTATTTTTTGTCAGGCAAGCTGTACTTGATCTAGATCTTGTTAATGTGAATGTTGTTTTTGTTTTTGTTGTTGAAAACATTTCCTTTCAAATGAAATCCATTAATTATCTATTTTTCGATGATGGTGATCATTATTTACACAATTGAATAAATGATTAGATTGTACCGATACGAAAATTATATTTATATGAAAATTTACCTTTATAATTTTTTCTGTTTTCGATTGTTCAGGTTCGATTGATTCAAAAACTTTCTCTCATTTGATATCCGGTTATTAGTTTTCTCTTTCATTTTCTCTAATTTTTTGAACTTTCCATCGAATGATCAGAACTGATAATGATTATATTTTGATCGATTGATTGATTGATTGATTGAAACAATGCAATCAAATAATTAAAATAAATAAATAATGTAATAATTAATTCAATTCATTTGATTCTCTTTGATTTTTTAGAAAATTTCTCTCCAATGTTTTTTATTGACATTGCTTACATCTCTAACCAATAATCATCATCATCATATTAATAATTAAATAATTTTCAATCTTGAATGGTTATTATTATTGATTTTTTCGATAAAAAAATCAATTTTTTGTTTTGAAAATGAAAATGATCATCATATTCATTGAATTGGTTTTCTGAGACAGAAACCATTCATTATTGATAAAATAAATGAATGGGTTACAGCGTTTGGTGAATTGTCGGTTGAGGAAATATCATCAAAATCACAAACATTATAATCATAATCTAATGACCTTGATCAGTAGGAGAAAAGAAAACATATATGGATGCTATGTATTTTTTGGAACGAAAAAAAGGTCAGGACTATTTTTTTAAATAGAAATTTTCCCGAGAAAAAAACAGATTAATGAATAGTAATTACCAAAAAATAAATTCAGAATAGCAGAATCTCTACCATGATGATGTTGAAAAAAAACATAGACAATCATTATTTATATGGCTTTTTTCTGCAAAGAATTTGACATGCAAAAGGGTTAATTGAGAATTGCGAGAAATTTTTTGTGAAAGATTTTTAATCGCCTTTCGTTTTTCCGATGTCAAAATGAATGAAAAAAAGATTGATTACTTGACAAATGTGTGTATGCCACCATCATCATCATCATCACCACTACAGCAAATCATTCCCGGACAACCCGGCGAAAAGAAAAAGAAAAATTTAAATTCTGTACTAATTTTGAATGAAAATAGAGAAAAAAATGGGAAACAAAATTTGGCGATGCAAAAAAAACTAATTAAATAGACGTTTGTTTGAAATTAAATTCTATTTAATTTTGTTTTTTTTTCGCTTTTTTGTAATTCAATTCAGCTTGAAATTTGCGAAATAATCAAATGATAATGATGACAATGGCCGAATGGCTGAACAAAACCGAACCGAACAAGCGAACCGAAATCGATTCATTTGTTCATTGATCGATTCGATGATTTTCTGGACAAAAAGTTTGTGTTGTAATAATATTGTAACAATGTTTACACATTTTACAAAACAAATTTTTGTCTTCAGTTTGCATCTTTGCTTATTATGTAATTGGATAAACTTTTTTTCTTCACTGTAATGATGTTTGTTGACCGATGATGAACCATGGTTGATGAATTGAGAAAGGGTTTTTACTGAAAATTCTGAAAAATCTAAAAGATGAATTAGGGTAAAAAAATTATCGAAAAGGACTAACCTTTATTAGCCAATTATCATGTGAATGTTTACTTTTAATCAAACCATCATCCATTCTTCAAACAAACAATCATTGTTTTTGTCATCTAGAAAAACCAGAAAAGAAATGTTTGTCATCATGATTTGTATACATATCATTATTGTTATGATTATAATTCATTAATCGTCAACAATTGATGATTGTGTGGTTGTTTTGTTTATTTTTCTAATTTTCTCCAATAATAATAAACGAACCAAAGAAAATAATCAAATCTATAGACAACAAAAGATAAAACTAAATCATGTAATCACCACACATACACACAGTTGGAAATTTTCCTTGAAAATTTGTTTCGGATAAAATTTCCACTGATTTTATTCGGGTTTTTTTGTTTGGTTAATTTTGAAAAATGATGTTTTTTTCATATCTTTTTTGTTGTTGTTGAAAAAAGCCGTAACCGTTTCCAACCATTTTTTTATCACATTAAATATATTGAGTTTTTTCGTTGTTTCTTTGATCATCATCATTAGTCATTACCACATTTATTTTGGTTGGAGGTTTTATTTTTTGTTGGCTGGATGTTTTGTTTGTTTGACAAACAGAAAAAAAAACGAAAGAAAAAAGAAAACAAACCACCATCATCAATGAATGAATCTCAATTCTCAAAGATTATTATGATGATGAATAATGATTTGTCAACACAACAAGGCAACCAAAACAAAAACAAAAACTCTTGCGTTCCAGGATTTTTTTATTCTGGTAAAAGAAAAATGATCATAAAATTTATTGATAGTTAAAAAGGGATGAACGAGACGAAAAGAGATAGAGATAGATATTGGATGATGAATAGCATTTTATCAGTAAAACATAACAACAAAATGCTTTTCCATAAAATCACTGCCGCATCAGAACATCTATTCAAAATACACCAACAATGATGATGAAAAGAAGTCATTAACCCGATCCATAATATCCCTTTCCATTCACCCACCCACTTACCAACCACGATAAAGGAATGAATAAATGTAGCAAAAATGTTAAAGAAAGATGCTAATAAATTTGAATCAAACTCAAATCCTAACAGCCAAAAGAGATTTGATTCATTCATTCTTCTCTTTTTTTTCTTTTCATTCATTTTCATGCATGCATTACAAGGGTAACAACAACAACAAAAAAAGGGTTTCTCATTCATTTCAGGCAAACAAAACAAAAACAAACATCATGCCAAGATGATTATTCTATGGATTCGTTGATTGTCACGAGATATATTATTATCAATGTAATCAAAATTGCAAACCATTCTATACCATCATCATTGAATATTTTCATATACCAAACATATTTTTAAATTTCAAAACACCCTGTACATCAGAATCAGAAGAATTTCAATAGATTTCAATAAGATGAATTTTTGAACAAAGAAAGTTCATAGTTTTTTTCCTTATAAAATGATGATGATAATGAAACATTCTCACACAGATGATATGCTCGATTTCGTTTTCAAAAAAACATCCATATTTAGAATAAACTTATTTTTCTTGGGGAAAATGTACTGAGATTTTATCATCAAACAACAACAACATTATCAACCAGAATTCTTTGTTTGTGTTTTTGTTGCTGGTATTCTTGTTTTGGCTGGCTGGTTGCTGTTTTTTCCAGCATCATTTTCATTTTCATCACTGAATTTATCTATTTATACAATCGTCTAGCTAATTAATCATACAACATTGAACATTTTCAACAACAATGTTTCCAGCGAAAACAATGAAAAACGAGGAATTCTTCACGGAATTTCACCATCATTATCTATTTCGATCAAGATATCAATACACCACTCAACAACAACAACAACAATTGACAAAAATCTTGATTTTTTTTTGTTTTGTTTTGGATCGATTCATCCATTCGATGGATGCCAACCAAAAAAAGCGAAACGAAAAAAACAAAACTCCAATATTGATTTACCATTTTTGTTCAGGATTCTATTCATCGATTTGAATCAACAAACAGCAGCCTGTGATTATTTTGGCATACATAAAAGATGTTCCCATACAAAATTAACATCACTTTTATTTTCATAGTTTTCTGTCTGGTTGGTTGTTGTTATTATTATTGGTTAACTTTGCCTATTTGAATTTATAATTCAATTTGCTTGCTTGGTGTCCATTGTTTCATCAAGAAAAAAAAATCAGTATCCTATATGCAAGCTGACAACCATTGAATTGAAGAAAACAAGTAAAAAAAAGTGAAACTGACGACAACAACGAAAAACGATTAATTAAATTGCTTACCAGCAACTTTCTCTCTTCATTTCATGAATCAAAATGGTGATGATGATGAATAATAAATTAGGATTTTATGGATTCATCACACACACACACACGCTTTTTGGAACCAGAAAAATTGAGGATCAATTCTGGTTTGCACGAAAATAAAAAAACAAAAAAAAAGTTTATAGCGTAATACTTACATAACGACGAAACGAAATGAAATGTGCAAAGCATCATCATCATTATTCTTTCCGAATAAATCTGGGTGCATTTAATTTAATTTAAATTAAATTAATTTAAATGAAAATCTTAGTCGCTTGTCTTAAGGATTGTTATGGTCCAAAGGGAGGAAAGCGTTAAAATGGGTGTAAATTGGAGTAGGAAAAAAGTTTTTTTCTTTTTGGCACATCGTTTTGAACAAAACAAAAAAAGTTTTTAAATTCTGGAATTAATTTGTCAAACAAAACAGAGAAAAAAACAAAGAAGTTTTTGATTAAAAGAATTAGAATAAAAAAATCGATTCGGAAAATTCTGTGAAGAAACAAAAACAGACGAAAAAAAATCTAATTTGAAAAGTGATTTGAAACAAAGCGAAACAAAACTTTTTTTCCGAAATTCATTCATTTTGAAAAATGACAATAGAGTTAAGTTCAAAGTTTTTTCTCTTTCTGTATTTTGACATCTCGAAAAAAGATTTGAAATAATCAATTTTTCATTTTCCAGTTTTTTCCAAGTTTCTAGAGATTTTTGTTTGGTGTATACATTTGAATGATGATTGGGAGCCGGATCGATATCCAGGAGGGATATGATTATGATTAGGATAATTAATCATCACAAGTTATGTTCAACAATCGTTTTGTTTTGTATCGCTAGAGAGCGAGACAACAACAAAATGTCAAAACAAAACAAAAAAACAAAAAACAATGCAGAAATCGATACCGAAACAATGACAGAATCTCAAATCCTTAAATAAAAGTAACAAAGCAAAAACATTGAAGAATATTCTCGAACGAACCACTTGCTGTGTTCATAAAGCACGAACTTTTCAATTCTAAGCTAAGCTGGCCAACAACAAAAAAGAATCCGCTTTTGTTTTTTTAGCA